TTTTTTTAAGCTAAAATTCCCACATGTACAATAAGAACAGCCATTAAAAAATGTCCATAATAATAATCCACTAACCGTTTTAAATAATGTTTAAAATTTTAAAATATTCTATAACTTTCAGAGATTTATATAATTTTTGGGGTTTTATTTGTAATAAAAGATTGACTTTGATAGACTTTGTTCTACCATTAATTTATTCATTGAATTTTTGTTAGGTTTTTGAATTATGGCGCTTTACAAATCTAAATAACGTATAATAAAAGTAAGCTAAAGAAAATTACTCTATCTGTCTGTTTGTGTGCATGATCTTATCAAGAATAAGCTTTACTGGAAATTTTGCAATAATTAAGAGGTTTTTTGAACAAAAGTCTATGTTATAAATACTCGTACCTAGTGATTGTTATCGCTTCTTAAATGAAATATTAAAATTTTGTTTTAATGAATAGTTTATGCCCAAAAATAATTTTTGGAACGTAAACATATTTGACTGTTTAGTTATTTCATATTTTGTTTCATGGATGTTTAAAGGCAGTGGTAGCCCAGTGGTAATACGCTCGCTTGAGTAACCGAGTGAAGCGGTTTAAAATCCCAGATCTCGTACCTCTGATATTTCCATCTGTGAATCTTTTCTACCATGATTACCACTTGCCTTACGGTGAAGAAAAACATCGTATACCTTCATGTCTAACCTAACCTAACAAATATTAGAAATACATGTTCGAAATCCGCAAACCCGCACTGCCAGCGTGGTGGACTATGGCCTGATCCCCCTTGTATTGAAGAGTGGGACGTTATAAATGGCTGAATACATGGACGTTTAGAGCACTAACAAATTATTCAACAGCTCAAACGCACTGCAAATTGCAAAGAATTTGAATTACCTACATGTACCTATAACTAAAATTTACTTATAATAATCAATGCTAATCTAAACATTCTTTAACCTCGCATATATTTAAGTAAAGGCTGAATTTCAGTCATTTTATTGACAATAACGTTTCAAGAGGCAATAAAGTGTACCCTAAGAATGCTGCTTGCGTGGAAATTTGAATTTTATCTCTTAATATTTTGTTACATTATAATACTGTATGAAACACATCTTTTGTAAATATGTCTGTGGTATTATTTAAGATTCAAAGTGTTCAACAAAATTTCTTCGTTTTAATAGCATAGTTTATTTCATATTATGGTATTTTCAACCGACTTCCTCAAAAAGGAGGATATTTTCGAAGTCGGTGTGCTTTGCTTTATATGGGCTGGCACCGATTTCGACAATATTTGATTGGGTATGTATTTAATAGGTAGGCTTTAATTACATAGCCAAAGCACACCGACCTCGAATTTTTTTGATTAGGTATGTATAGTAAATGAAAACTACCAATCAGTTTTTTTTTTTTAATTTTTAGTGCTTTTGTTTGAAGCCGGTTTTTATTTTTTTGTTAAAAAGTTTTTATTTCTTTTATTAAATGTTACTAGCGACTCACCCTCGCTCCGCTCGGAAGTCCCTAGAAGTTCGTCCGGGTATATGTACTCGCCGCCCAACATCTCTTCGTGTGCCAACACGGAGAACACGAACAGGACGAGTAGAAATACTGGACTGCAAGAAAAAATTATACATAAAATATTATATTATGAAGTTTTTCGTTGTCATGCAGAGAGCGAGTCTCTTGATTTACTCTTAGTATTTTCCAAATAAGGATAAATATTCTATACTAGCGTTTTAACGTTTAGTATAGATTTCTCAGAAATGAGATATTTTTCCGCATTAAAAAGTATCCTACATATTGACTCGGATAATATATTTTTATTTATTTCTTCGACTTTTGACTTTGAAAAATTAGCCTACATGAAAAACCCTTTTCTTTTAACAAAAAAGTATCTACATATGTATACACAACCTCTAAGGTTACTTGAACGTCCATTCAAAATATTAGTAAAATAAGTTTTGAAATAAGGTGAATAGTTTGATTTTCTACATCCTACATCTAAACTTACATTAATACTATATTTTATATTTTTCTTAATGGTTATAAATATAATAATGGCAACACTAAATATAGATTACTAATTAATATTTTTAAAATTGTAATTATTATAAAAATAATAGCAAAAATGAAATAAATAATATTCCATATTCAATTATAATTAAAATTATAAAAATGTTTAAAGTTAAAAAATATTGTAATGTAATTGGTGCATTTTTCATTTTGTTATTTGTGGGTAGGCTGTCTGTAACAACTATACATTCAAGACATGTAACACCTCAGTCTCTCCCGTGACCATGGATGCTGTAAAGCAAAACGTCGAGAACCAAAAATCAAAAAAAAAAACAAAATAAATCCGCGAAATAATCCGAAAAGATAGTTTTATTTAAAAATTTACCTCGTTATAACAGTACATAAACAAAAATTTCACTTAGCAAAAAATATATCACTATAGTCAATCAAAACTTGCCTTTGAACGTACGGCCGCCCACCCAGTATACGACCCCACTACCACTGCACTTACAGATTCTTATTTAACAGTAATCTCACCATAAAAGCTACTGATTAACAGCAGCATTTAACATGTCCATTTTCATTACACTCACGTCTTCCTTAATATCCTTAAAGCTCTTAGCTCTCGGTTAAAGACTAATTCGCCATCTACGTCTAATCTTCGCTGTAAATATTTTTGATTGAATCACTTTATTATTACCTTTTGATTCTTTTACAATTGCCTTGGTTTAGTATTTTGTTAATTAATCAAATAATGATTTAACTTTAGTTACAAGTTAAATTATAACTCGTTTGTTTACTTAAATTTAACATTTTACGTTTTATTTAAAGAGATTTCGCGTATTGCTCATTTAACTAACGACGTATCATTGCTTTGCTCGGGTGTGGTCCTACAAGGCTTTTGTTTTTGTATACATATAATAAAATTGTTACTAAGTCGAATCTGTACATTAAATATTTATTGAAAATTTTTATTGAAATAATTATTATTATCGATACAGAGGCAGAATTATTAGTTTTTAGGATTTTTGTCTGTTTGTCTATCTGGGAACGCATCACGAGAAAACCACTAGACAGATTTTGATGAAACTTCGTATGATGATAGCTGGTTATCCGGGTCAACATATAGGATATTTTTATTGCTGAAAAATATGTTATCTCTGAGAAATCTATATTAAACTTAAAACGTAGTTCGTCGCCAGTATATTATGAATTTTATGCAATTACTTAAATTATTTGCTATATATTTATTTACAGTTATGGAAATTACAAATATACTTAACTATATACATACAATAATACTTTCTTAGATTTACGCGATTATTTGACATTTAAAAAAAAATAAATGTATGTATTTAAAGTTATATATATATATATATATATATATATAGTGTATCAACTATCGGGTATCCATAACACAAGCCTCGTCGCTTACCATGGAACTAGATGGTGTATGTTAATGTCCCAACATATTTAAAAAAACATATATTATTTATGTCTTACACAAAGAAATATCTAGTAAAAAAAAACATTTCAACCTATTTTATATGGTAGAAGATTTGTAGACGCGCAGTCGACTTGCAACAAGTCTTAGTCTCGGGAGAGGTCACTGCATTACTTTTATTTGCGGAACCATCACCCCTGTTTGCTGTGGGAAATTGTTAACACAAAGATACACTGTACACTGAAAAAAGCTAAATTTCTGTTAAACGATAAACTGTGTCATTAAAAAAAATTGTATTTAACAAATATTTCTACCATCTGGTTATTTTTGAAAACATTGAAGTACCATTATTAATATCTTGGATTTATGGGAATATTTAACGTTTTAAATAAAATTAATCCTCGGATTTTAACGAGTTCTTCTTTTGCATTATGTTGTCGAATGTTATTTAATCTATACATATAATAAAATTCTAACTAATTCGAATCTGTACATTAAATATGTTTTGGAAAATCTTATTGAAATAGACATTATTATCGATACAGAGGCCGAATCTATCGTTTTTAGAATTTTTGTCTGTCTGTCTGTCTGTTACCGCATCACGAGAAAACCGCTGGACAGATTTTGATGAAATTTGGTCTGGTGATAGCTCGTTATCCGGGTCAACATATAAGATACTTTTTACCGCGGGAAAATATCTCATTTTTGAGAAAAAATACAAAAACTGCATTGTAAGAATTATTATACTATAAGAGTATACGAATATGTAAAACCTAAGAATTTGCTATTTGGGCGCGGTGCATTAATTTGAACGCGGGCGGAGCCGCGGGCAATGCTAGTCTATACTAATATTATAAAGAGGTAAAGTTTGTGAGTTTGTGAGATTGTGAGCTTGTGACGTTGTAGGGGGTAATCTGTGGATTTACTGAACCGATGGAAATGAAACATGGTAAGATAATTTGAGACGCTGGGAAGGACATAGGATACTTTTTATCCCGGAAATAATCCCTTAAGAGGGTGAAAATGGGGATGAAAATTTGTATGAGGAATCAAGCAAAGTAATTAATTGCGCACATTAAAATAAACATAAAAAGAGCTTATCAAAAAAGTCGTATTATTATCAATTATGTACTTTTCTTTAACACGTTCACTGCGTCATCATTCTGAAAGAATTTTCAGCTGGTTCTTTGGAGACCTAAAAGATCTCGAAACTAGCCTACCCTTTGGTGCGTTAGAGACCTAATCAGTCTCCTAAAAATACAGTTTTGAAAATAATTAATATCTTCCAAAAAACTAATGACATATATTTTGAAGTTTTTGTGGGTCAAGAGAGCCTATTGCTTTACATTTTATTAGGTTCGCACGCAGTTATGACATTAGAATAAACTACAAATACCAAAAAAAAATTAGATATTGATTGTATCTCGTACCGCAACCGAATATAGTTCAATATGTGTAGTAAGTAGTGATGGGAATAAAATAATATCTCAGTTGTCGATTGAAAAAGTTTTATTAAAGAAGTTTATTTATAAACTATGCAAAGTGTTTTTCATTAAAACATGGTAAGCACATTGATTATTTGCATTGCGAGCAAATGGTAACAATTTTTTTAGCTTTTTTTAGAAGCGTCAGCGCTGTTTAATGTGCGTCATAATTTTTCATAACAACCCCCACAGACGTCTATTTTTTGTCGCCACGTTGGAAAACATGATCTGTCATCTTCCTTCGGGGAATTCTGTAATAAAAAGCACTGGACAGATTTTGAAAATTGTAATTATACTGGACGATGCAGCACTATAATCCAGCGTTGATATTTTCATTCTTAGAAATCTCACCAAAATAAAACAATTTTATTAAATAATTAAATAAAATATATTAAATAAAAAAATTTTTACACTTTTTTGAAACGTGCGCGCAACCCCCCACGTCGACACTAGGACAACACTAAATCGATTCACACAGCGCCCGCGCCGCCCACCCTCCCTCTCTTGCGTGTACGAGGCGTGACGATTCCACGAGTATCGACATATCTCCTAACGCAAGGAATAAAAATAATTATACTACTGTGCGTTAGGGACCTAATCCATCTCTATTTATTTTTTTATGTCCTCGAATTCACCTTTAAGTAGGGGTGAAAATGGAGATGAATTTTGTACTCATACTTAAAGAACTTTACACATAGAGCCTTGAAACAACGCGCATTATAGTCAATAAACAATACAAAATGGTCTTGCAAGAGATGTGATTAGATCAATTATGTCCTTCAGCGAACGTGTTAAAACAATTCAACTTCAGAATTTTCCATATATGTGACAGTATTTTAATATGTTTGTTTGTGCCGACTTTAGGGCGAAAGCCCAGGGCCGGAGCGGCGAAACGGCGATTGCGACGAGATGCCGCCGCCGGAGTCGCCGACCGCGCCCGCCGCACCACCGCTGCCTCCGCCCAACAACGTGAGTATTTATTTATTTATTAGATTTGCCAGCAATTTCTTGTAATTAAATTATTTAATAGATAAATTTATAAAAACTACCATTTTCATATTTTGTTGTATACATAACAAAATTCTTAAAAATCTATTGGCTTTCTTAACTTCCCACTGCTCTGCACGGTACTCTCCTTAATACAAGGAGCTTTAATCAAATATATACATATATACAAATAAAAATTAATTGCTGTTTGTTGGTAAAGGTATAGGAATTATTATATATCCTTAAAGAACACAAACTAAAAATTTAGATAAAGGAATACGTGTGTCGGCTCAGCTAGTTTAGAATAAGTATGAACAATTTTCAAAATAGTTGTTATTATTATACAAATCTTTATATATATAACTTTTCTGTGAGTGTGTATGTCACTGAACTTCTCTCAAACGACTGGACCGATTTTGATGAAATTTTTTGTGTGTGTTCAAGGGGATCTGGGAATGGTTTAGATTCACAATTTGAATAATAATTTTCATCAAAAAATTTATTAAAAAAAGTTTGAAATTTTCAAATTAAAGACGTGTAGACAGGACAACGTCTGTCGGGACCGCTAGTATTATATAAGTTTTCAATTATGATACTGCTTTCTTAAGGGATCATAATAAAAAATAACTTTAAACCTATTAATTTTAAGTTCACAAATGATAGACAAAAGTGTATTTTTTTGTTTCCCAAGTTATATTATCACTTTTATTCCCTCCACGACCGCGGACACGCCGGCGTTACAATTAACAATAGATTTCTTAGAATTTTACTTAATTTTTTAGTTTACCTGGAGATGTTAAGGGACCGCATAAAGGATCGCAGTGAATTTATATCTACGTAACAAAATACAAGAATATACCTAATAGTAATATAGCTCGAAAGGTTATTACTATATTGTTGAAATTATCAAACAAACTACATATTATGAACACAGAAGTTTGAATTGTGTGTTTGTAAGTTTGTAACACTAAAACGGCTGAACAGATTTGGATGAAATTTAGCATACAAATAGACTATAATCTGGAATAAGACATAGGTACTTTAAATATATGTATGCATGTAGTATGTCATTTTTATATATATTGTGATTTTTTTAATTTATTTCCATATTACCTTGCACTTTTCTGCTCTGCTAAATGACAATCTTTCTCACATCCTAGGGTGACTGGAGAGATCTCTTTTAGAGATTAGACCTTCGCCTTCAATTTTCTCTTAATATTTGTAATTTATGTTTTTTAATGTGTAATAAAGAATATATATATATAAGAAGATATTTTTTATCACAGAGCCAGAAAACTCGGTCCATCGTCGTCTCCCTGACACCGGAGCGGCAGCGTGAGACGTGGGCCAAAAAGGCAGAGTTTCTCCTGGCGGTGGTGGGCTTTGCCGTGGACCTTGGCAACGTTTGGCGTTTCCCTTACATCTGCTATCAGAATGGCGGTGGTAAGTTAATAGATTATAGTGTATCTATACTAACATATAAAGCTAAAGTTTGTTTGATTGTTTGTTTAAACCGGCTTATACTTGGATCTAGTCCGATTTGAAAAAATATTTTTGTTACCTATATTTGTTGTTTAAGGTTTTTAGCCACTATGACCTATGAAAGCGGATTAATTCTCAATAATTAAATGTTGCGAGCGAAGCCGTGAGAAAGCGATAAAGCTCTAACAATACTATCTTTATATTATCTACATATATTATTTGCTTTGTTACTTGTTATATCATCTGCATATATTACAAAACTGCTGACTTTTGCTGAGAAATTCATAAGAACTTTACCATTTTGAAGTTTTGAAGATAAAACCACGGAAATTGTTGTTTAAGCTTTTATATATAGGAAACATTGATATTATGTAAATAAATGGTAGAGTCAACACATTTTAAAATATAAGAACTACATAGTCAAATCAAAAAGTGCTTTGTTGTTACGATATTTATAATTTTATATATAAGACAAAAAATGAAACAGAATGTATGTTCATAAGTATGTAATATAAGAGACTTCCTTACGATAACCCTACGAATAAATAATAAGTTTTATTTATTCATAGCAAAAAGATATTTAATTTTTCATGTAAATAAATGTAATATAAGAACTAACTATTCTTAAAATTGGTTAAAAATGATTTATGTACCAGGTGCTTTCCTCATCCCTTACTGTGTGATGCTTCTATTCGGCGGTCTACCTCTTTTCTTCATGGAACTGGCTTTAGGACAATATCATCGATGTGGCTGTCTCACTCTATGGAAAAGAATCTGTCCTGCTCTAAAAGGTAAGATTTAGTTAATAACTATACAAAAGTTTATACAATATTGGGAGTATGTGTTGGGTCATTAACACATAGCGCCATCTAGTTCCAAGATATGCTACGAAGCTTGTGTTATGGATACCAGATAGTTGACACACTACACATATATAACTTTAAATACATACAAATTATAAATATGAACATCCATGACTGGAGTACTAACATTCGTGCTCATCACACAAATGAATGCCCCCAGCGGGACTCGAACCCGCAACCGCTGGCACAGCAAGTAGCTGGCACTACAATCCGAGCCAAACGTGCCGTAATGTTACTTGAAATATACTAATATATTATTCAGAATCTTTTATAAGCTCACTCTTCAAATGATAATGGTTGAAATCAAAGAAGAGATACTTATCTATGTCGTATTATTTGTGCTAAGTGATTGTGCTTCGGCATCGTCTCGAGGGAAACATGGTTTTATAATTCCTCTTTTTACATCATGTCGTATTTTCTCTGTTTATTTTTTACTAACATCTTACCCCCGCTTCGCTCGGGTGCGTTCTTTTGTGTCTTTTGTAATTTTAACACTATAGACAGAAATCGCCATTTTTGGCAAATTTAGTTACTAATAGTAGCATATGTGTTACTCCAGACTGCAGTTTATCTGTATACTGAATTTTATCCTAATCGGTTTACACGTTTCTGCCAGAAAGAGTTACAAATATACACGCACATATAATATTGTAAATAATATTGTAATAATACTATTGCTTTGGCAACAATTTTCTTAGTGGTCGAATTATAAATTTTATAAACGTTAATGAGGCAAACATAGGTATTACTAGCGACTCACCCTCGCTTCCCTCGGGGTCGTGACTAGACAAGTTTAAATTTTTTTGAATGGAACCCTAATTGTTTTTCTAAAATAAAAGTAGCCTATGTTACTCCCTATAACATCAGCTATCTTTCAGTGAAAGTCCTTTCAAAATCAGTCCAGCCGTTTCAGAGATTATTCGGAACAAACAGACAGATAAACAAAAATTTAAAAAATGTGTTTTTCTTATAAGTACGGTATATAATTACACATGCATTTAGTAAAACGCTGTTATTTTGACATAACAAACAGACACTTCAATTTTATTTATCTGTATAGATGTCTTTATAAACATTTTCGTATATCAATTCTCTAGAGAAAAATAGTGCGTATTCGTGTTATTAGCACAAGTGATTAATTTCAACGCGCTCCTATGAAAACTCAAGAAACACGAGAAAATCTCGCAACTCTAAGATTTTTGTTCATGAAGAATCTTATTCATAACATGATTTACCTCTTGTAATATGTTGAATGTAAATATCTGGATGAAACCTGCATACCTGAAAGAACCTAACAAACATACACTTACAACAAACAACCTCCTCCTTTTTTAAAGTCGGTAAAGCTTTACATCACCGAGTGATATTAAAGCAAGTATACCCTATATCCTACTCTCTAACCACTTCAGATAGTAAAAGACCTCGAATCAATTCGTTTGGTCACTCTTAACGCCCTTTATAAATATACAGAAGCAATGCTTTTACCGAGACAAATGGTGGATGGACCGGGGAATTAAAATGTATGAAACAGACTCTTGTGTGAAGAAACCGTTTGATTTTTATAAATATTTATTCGCACTTTGAAGAAATTAAAATCGTTTTACTGCTCAAACCAAAACTATTACAAGCTGTTACATTTGGAATAGTAACGTAACTAGACTTTTTGGGCCCCAATGCAAAAAAAAAACGGAAGTGTACCCCTTTTACCTATTTTGAATATGAAGTAAAGTGCAGAAATTTAAGACACTTTTTATTGTGGTTTTTTTAAACTTCTTTGAGGGCAGTCCTTAAAAAAAAATTTTTAAAATAAAAAAAAATTGTGGCCCACTAAGGCCTCCTTAGGCCTCCTTGGATCAGGGGCCCCATACGATCGCATTGTTTGCATTGGCATAGCTACGCAACTGATTTGGATATTAAGGACTCTGCTTCTAGTCGGTGTTATATTTTAAATGCTAAAATTTGTATGTGTATGTGATCTGGATGAAATTTAGCTCGTGGATAAACTATGACCTACATATAGGCTACTGCTAATTACCTAGAAAACATAGAACCAAAGCGAGGTATAGTCGTTATGCTAATATAAAGAGGAATTTTTCGTTTGCCTCTTTGGTTTTTTTAAATTAAATAATAGAATATAATATAGAGTTATTTTTAGGCAGCGCTGGATTTACACTAGGGGCACTCGAGGCTAGTGCCCAGGGCGGCAAATTTTTTGGGGCGGCAAAATTCGGCGGGTGGGAAAAAATCTTCGGGTAATCGAAAACGCTTTCTTTATTTTCCAAAAAATGATTAATTCAAAAAAAAGAACTAGTACATTTTTCGAAAAATTGAAACCAATTATAAATTATATTTTTGCATTTTTCAAAAAATTAATAATTAAAAAAAATAAACTTTATCAAAACTTTACCCATTTTATGCAAAATTTTGATAATTGGACACATTTTTTACTATGTCCAGGGGTGGCGCTAAGGTTGAATCCGGCCCTGTACTTAGTGTCTATTCGCCCGATAATCGGATGAATAAAAAATATACCATTCGTTCGACTATATCTTTATTCCCCAATAGGTTAAAATTATCTTATTTATCGTACACTAGTTTCAAAGTTCAGTTGAGATCAGACAAATCCAACAAAACCATATTCAAAACAGAGCCTTTTTGAATATCGTTCTTGTTAAAAAAATAATAAATGTTTAAGTAATATATATTTTAGAAGTATAATAAAATACTTTTAACTCTTTAGTGTGCGTAAAATTTAGTAAACTTATTACTTTCATTGAGGCACTAAATCGCCACGTACAGCTCTACGTAGACGACGCGAAATCTCCTCAGCAAACATTTGAGCAGCTCTCGTAGAGGGTCTTTTGGAATAGCCCGACCACAGTATTGAAGTTTTAACGACTTTTTACCGATAATGAAATCTTTAAATGAAAAATATTTTCTAAACTAACGCGATGCTTAAGTTGAACTTTTTTCTTTTACTTCGGATATACTTTCAACTTCAGCCATTTAAACCTTCAGTTAATTTTACTAAGAAAGATATTTTTGTATCTTTTGTATAATATAAATAAATAAATATGTCAGGACATTAACACACAGCACCATCTAGTTCCATGGTAAGCTACGAGGCCTGTGTTATGGATACCAGATAGTTGATACACTACACATATATAATTTTAAATACATACATATTATAAATATAAGCACCCATGACTGGAGTATAAACATTCGTGCTCATCACACAAAGCGGGACTCAAGCCCGCGATCGCTGGCACAGCAAGTAAGGTCACTACAAACAGAGCCAAACGTGTCGTCGAGTCGAATATAGTATAATAATTAAAGATTAAAATTCAAACTGTACCTTGTGCAATTAAAAACTAAAATTTTATAAAAAAAAACGGGAAATCATTATTATTATTACTTGGCATAATTATGTATATATAATTATATATGTACATACAATTATAAGATAATCTAAATGGTCTAAATAAGACAGTGGTAGTCCAGTGGTAACGCGCTGGCTTGGGAAACCAAGTGAAGCGGGTTCAAATCCCGGGTCTCGCACCTCTGATATTTTCATGTGCGAATCATTTCTAACATGATCACCACTTGCCTTACGGTGAAGGAAAACGTCGTGAGGAAACCTGCATGTTTGAGAGAACTTCGCAAGTTTTTGAAAGACATGTGAAGGCACTTGGCCAGCGTGGTCGACTATGGCCTGATCCCCCTCGTATTAAAGGGAGGCCCGCGCCCCGCAGTGAGACGTTAAAAAGGGCTAAATATAAATATATATAAACACAAATATGTATTACAAACTCTTCTAGAACTTTTATTTACCGAAGAAACTTCGTCCTCCGCGCCGTGCCGTAATAGCTGTATTACGAAAAAATCACGGTTCTTCCCCATAATTTGACTAATCGACACGAATCGATCAACAGTCGTCGTATTTCGAATTCTGCTAACTATAACAATTATACATCTATTTTAATACAAAACTTCCTTACATTTTTATATCTAGTATCCAAACTAATGTTATATATAATTAATGTGAAAGTGTGTTTGTTTGTTTGTTTGTCCTTCTTTCACGTCGAAACGGAGTGACGGATTGGCGTGATTTTTTGTGTTGCGATAGTTGGAGGGCTGGAGAGTGACATAGGCTACTTTTTACCGCCGGAGATTATCTAATTCCCACGGGATAACACGTTATAATACAATCCAAAAATATATATAATCAAAATAACTTTAAACTTGGTATTAATGCTCTTCAATAAAATTCAATAAACACATGTTTTAGCATTTTTTGAAATTCTTCCTATAAAGGGATGAAAGTTTGTATGAAACTACCTTTTTAGATATTTTTTTGTAGTTTTAATGCGAGCGAAGCCGAGGGTTGTGCTAGTAGTATATATGTATACCTATCTATCAGGTTTTTATAGTTGACTTAGTTATTTGTATTGAAATTTGTCATTTTGAAGTTAAAGATATGGGTTATAAATATCATCGGAAATACTAGTATCACGATAAAAATATGAATAATATCGATGTTAGAAAATTCATAGAGATTAAAATGTAAAATTTGAGTATACAATATTTAAAACATACATAAATATTATTATATATATAATTACAATAAAGTAAGTTAATATATATATATATATATATATATATATATATATATATATATATATAAATATATTCGCTTAATTGTATTAAGAAGGCGACAACCCTTATCAGCGCCCCATGCATCATTTCCCCTCGTTCGCTTATCGAAAGCAATCGAGCTTTCCTCGACGCTTATCAACTTGCGTTATACCGCGATACAAAAATTAAATATTTATATACCCATGATGCCTATATTTAACTAGCAAATGCCAGTACGGTGGTAACCAGTTCGATTACCGCATAGGCAAAATATCTGTAATCATTATTTTATATTATTACTTAGTAGAACATTTAAGAAACTGAAGTGTTTTTGTTGGTAAATTCTTCATTCACGCAGAAATCACAGAAGCAAAATGGTTTTGGTTTTTGAACAGTATTACTAGGCCTTGTTAGAAGCTAGTATACTCCTGTATTTTATCCAATCATGCTAGAGAAAAACACATACGATAGGAAACTCCAAACTCGATTCTCGGATATCACTCGCATAAATCGAGTTGTCATCTAAACCAATTAGCATCATATCATTTGATTTGGATATACAACTTTGAAATCAGATGGCGTTGATTCAATACTAAAGTTTGCGAGTGATGCTTAATTTGATTTTAAATGTTCAAGATTTATGAATGAATCGGTTATTCGATTTATTACAGTTGATTGGATCATGTTATAATACAGCTTTTGTTATAGAAACATCTATTTTAGTTATAATTTAATAGATAAAATGTTTTGAAAAGGAAGTTAATATTAGTTTATGTTTTATCACTCGCCTGTGAGGGTAAATGAAGGATTTATTCAATATGAAGAGTTGGATATTAAATTTATGCATTAAGGGATTTTTGAAGTGAAACTTCTTTAGAATCGTTGTGATTTGAAACTCGATTGAAACGAAAATGTAACACTAAAAAGAGACAAACACTTAAATATATAGGATTAAGCCGGAGAGAGAATGAGATAGAATACATTGTCATGTTGCCATGGTAACCGTTCTTATTGTCATTACACAGGAAGTGTAAAACAATAAAATTCATACTTAATAACATGTGATGTGTATTTATGTTAAATAAAACGCTAAATAACTTTTAAACTTGGTAAGAATATTATAAAAAAAATAAACCTTATCAGTATCCTACTCCTGATACTCCATATTCATCTCATTCTCTCGTAGATTATTTTTCTGAAGTTTCACTTACCGTGTGTGAATTACACACACAAACGTAATTTTTTTAATTAAGTTTTCTTAGTACTTGCTGAAAATAATATACTCTTATAATCACAGGTGTAGGTTACGCTATATGCATGATCGACATCTACATGGGCATGTATTACAATACTATCATCGGCTGGGCAGTGTACTACCTGATAGCGTCGCTAGCCTCCATCAACTCCGTCCTCCCCTGGACCAGCTGCGACAACGAGTGGAACACCCCCCTGTGCATGCCTGTCACATCGCCCCAAATCAATCCAAATGCTACTACCCCCGCTAAGGAGTTCTTTGAGTGAGTTGGATTTTATTCTAGATATATGGAAAATTCTTGTACATTTATTTTGTGTATGGCGGAAATGGCTGTAATGATTTGAATCCAATTTTTTATTTAGATAAGGTTTTGCTTTTTAAGTTTATCTACATTTATGTCTGTACTGAAAATCCCAATTGTTTTATATATTTTTCGAAAAAACATGATTTTACGAATAAAAATGCCGGTCGCCTAGGAACTATATAATATTATATGTATAGTACAGAGTTGATGATCCGATGGTGGACGTACTCGTACCTACCTATAACGTAAATAAATTATTTCTAATTTTAGGCATTTTTGGTAACAGAATAGGAAATTATAAAAAAGTTTGATCAAAAAAAATCAGTTAAACATTTACTCTGATACAAAGCCTATGTTTAAACCGTTCTTATATACTGTACAGGCGTAACGTGTTGGAGCAGCAAAGATCAAACGGTTTGGATAATATGGGCCCAATCAAACCATCTCTCGCCCTGTGCGTCTTCGGCGTGTTCGTTTTAGTTTACTTTTCTCTGTGGAAAGGAGTCAGAAGTGCTGGAAAGGTAAATTTTTTAAATCATGTTTTCTAAAACTAAATTAAAAAGAAAATATATTAGTGAAGTTCTCATTTGAAATACGAATAAGGTCAAGCACATTATTTTAGCTAAAATCAGACATAACTATTATGTCTATTTATTAACGGATTGCTAACACATCATTAATTCATATTGAAAACTAGCCTCGCTTCGCTCGGGTTCGCCTCTAAGAAAAACAAAAGCAAATCTTTTCCTCATGAACCATATTTGCGGGATAAAAAGCAGCCTGTGTTATTCCAGACTATAATCTATCTCTGTAGCAAATTTCATCTAGATCTGTTCAGCCGTTCTGGCGTGAAAGAATAACAAACATCCATACTCACAAATTTTCACATCTATAATAACAGATAATCATGTTATGAAATTAATTGAATTTTATCCCATTAGGTGGTATGGGTAACAGCGTTAGCTCCATACGTGGTGCTCTTGATTCTTCTTGCGAGAGGCGTAACACTACCCGGCGCTACTGAAGGCATCCGGTACTATCTCACCCCTGAATGGCACAAGTTACAGAACACTAAGGTAAGTCATAATATATTGCTATTAATTAATCCTGAATGGCACAATTTATCAAACTCTAAGATAATGTATTTGATGGGGTATCCATATTCTACCGACACCATCTTTAGTGTTTACTAATCTTATGGGCGTTATCAGTGCTCAAATAATAAAGTATTTAATGCTCAATACAATTTAATAAGGGAAATCACAATGTTATAAATTTGAAACGATAATTCTAATATTTTAATTTAGCAGCGGGTTCTCAGGCACCATCTAGTTCCATGGTAAGCTACGAGGCTTATGTTATGGATACCATATAGTTAATACACTGCACATATATGTATAACTTTAAATACATACGTATCATAAATCATAATTATAAACACCGATGACTGGAGTACAAGGATTCGTACTCATCTCACAAATAATTGCCCCCGGGACTCGAACCTGCGACCGCTGGCACAGCAAATAGGGTACACATGGAGCACTATAAACTGAGCCAAATGTGTCGTCGCTATTCGTAACGTCGTCTTAACTCTGCTACTAAATAGGTATGGATCGATGCAGCTTCCCAAATCTTCTTTTCTCTGGGACCCGGCTTCGGTACTCTATTGGCGCTGTCCAGCTACAACAAGTTCAACAACAACTGCTACCGTGACGCTCTCATTACATCTTCGATTAACTGCCTCACTAGTTTCCTTGCTGGATTTGTAATATTCTCAGTTTTGGGGTAAGCGTTTTTATTTTTTTTATTTTTTATTTATTCTCATTGGAAACAAATATTTTATATGTTTGATTGTTTGTTCATTAAATTAAAAATTTTAGCAATGTAAGAACACTTTTCTATATAAATTTCATAATAAGCAAAAAGTCATTCAGTCGATTAGTTCTTGATATTTAATAAGAACAACTTAATAATTCTTCATTGTTAGGTACATGGCACATGTTCAAAACAAGAGTATCGAGGAAGTAGGCCTCGAAGGACCTGGGTTAGTTTTCATCGTGTACCCTGAAGCTATCGCCACTATGACCGGTTCCGTCTTCTGGGCCATCATCTTCTTCCTTATGCTGATCACATTGGGGCTAGATAGTACTTTTGGAGGTAAAGAAATATCATTAATATTATAATTAATGTATGCGATGCGAAATTTTGTTAAATTTTATTGCTAAAAATTACCCTAATTTCTTTATCCAGGATTGGAAGCAGTCACCACAGCCTTGTGCGACGAATACCCACGAGCACTCGGCCGACATCGAGAGATATTCGTCGCATTTTTACTACTCTTCATCTATATTTGTGCTCTACCCACTACTACTTACGTAAGTACGAATATTTGATAATGAATATAACAATAATGTCCTCCTAACCAATCTCGGCCTCGATAGCCAATCTCACTAAAACTAGCCATGTCGTCAGTGATATTGTAGCGCAACAAGTGTGTTGGTAGACACGAGTGCACTCTTTATTATTTTCACTCTCAGTGTCAGAGTTTGAGTTGAGCTTTTGACAATCGACACAACCGGTGAGAAATCAGGTACAGAAGGATGTAACAACGTCAACTTCAAAACTCTTGGCTCGATTCTGATTCAAACCCCGACTGGGTTTGAATCCGTGTCTTCAGATACCGATGCAGAACCGTACATGCTAGCCACTGATTTGGCATTTAAAATGAATGTACAGTTTTAAGTTAGTTTTTTTTAATAAGAAAAGGCTAAGCCGGTGACTTTTATGGGACAAACTACTTTCATTGTACATTTTGAAACTCGATTATAAATTGTCCTATCATTATATTGTTATTTACGTTCTTAAAATGGCAAGTCAGAGGATCGTTAGTGACTATAAACAAAACCTAACCATGCGTCATAGTGTCGACTTCTCTCTGATACCTTTGCATATAAAAATATGAGTTTGTTGCTTAATATGTTATATCAGTGCCATGTTTATTTTAAATTGTATTTTATAATACTAGCTATTCATTTTTGCTTTGCTCGTGTTCGTCACTAGTGAAAAACAAATACAAATCCCACGGGAGCCGAACATTTTTCCGGGATAAAAAGTAGCCTATGTGCTATTCCAGACTATAAGCTATCTCTGTGCCATATTTCATGCAGATCCATTCAGCTGTTTTGGCGAGATTGAGTAACAAACATCCATCCAAACTTTTGCATTTATAATATTATTGGCTAAAAATATTGTATTAGTGCCTTGTTTATTTAATTGTAATATATAATATTATTTATTTCTCCCTCAATTTAGACACAATGATACTTATTTTTACCCCTTGTATTCGATAGGTATTTTAAGCGTAAAATCCGAATATTCCATATACTACGAATGTAGTATTTAGAGATTTGTTAGCAATTTATGACGACACGTTTGGCTCAATTTGTAGTGACCCTACTTGCTGCGCCAGCGGTCGCGGGTTCGAGTCCCGCCGGAGGCATTCATTTGTGTGCTGAGCACGAATGTTTATACTCCAGTCATGGGTGTTTATATTTATAATATGTATGTATTTAAAAGTTATATGTGTATCAACTATCTGGTATCCATAACACAAGCCTCGTAGCTTACCATGGAACTAGATGGTGCTGTGTTTATGTCTTGATATATTTATTTATATTTAATTTATTTCAAATACCAAAGTGTAATGCAACTATGTTCCTCGTAACGTGAATGTTGCAGTTGATTTTTAATTAAACATTCAATATCGTGCTCGGCATTTAGTTCGAAAGGTTAAGGAACATCAAACATTCATTTACTATTTCACGACAACTTGTATAGCGCACGCTATATTTTTAAATGAACTGAAAACTTCTGATTATATGACTTACTAGCATTTCCCGCGACTCCGCCCGCGTTCATATCACCAAAAACCAAATTCTTAGGTTTTACATACGTATTAATATACTCTTACATTGCAGTTTTTGTAGTTTTTTCTCAGAAATGAGATCAGCTATCACTATACCAAATTTCATCAAAATCCCTCCAGTGGTTTTTCTGTGATGCGGTAACAGACAGACAGACAAAAATTCTAAAAACTATAGATTCGGCATCTGTATCGATAATTATGTTTATTTCAATAAGATTTTCCAAAAATATATTTAATGTACAGATTCGACTCAGAATTTTATTATGTGTATAAACGAATCATAAATAATAATAAATTTTACCGAAAATTCATTGAGACCATTAGAAAGACAAAATAAAAAAAAACACTAGTCTTTACTTAGGAGTTTCAACAAATGCCAGCTAAATATATTCGATATATTACCGCGTTATCTCAGCGAGAACGTATTCCGTTGCATAATTCATTGTACACTTAGGGGGATGACCTGGCGTATCAGTATATACTGACTTCGACTTCGCTACAGTTATTCGCAAGCCACTTGTGGATAGAATTTATTAGACCGCTATTACTTTTACTGTTTTATTATTCATTATTTTACGATTTAAACCAAATATTTATTATTTTCATGTGTGTACAGCGTTATCAGACTCTGAAATGAAATGATATGAAAAGTATTTAAAACTAGCGACTCTAGCGAAACTTGATTTCAGCAGTGGACGCGATAGGTTTATCGATTGACTGATAGATTTCTCAGAGACGAGAAAAAAGTATCCTAAATGTTGACACGGATAACCAACTATTATCATACCAAATTTCATCAAAATCTGTCGTGTGGTTTTCTCGTGATGCGTTCCCAGACAGACAGATAAAAATTCCAAAAATTATAGATTCGGGCTCTATATCGATAATAATAACTATTTCAATAAGATTTTCAAAAATATATTTAATGTACATATTCGACTCAGAATTTTATAATATGTATAGAAGATAATAGAGAAATAGTTTTATTTATGTACTATGTTATGTAGATTCAATACTCATTGTTCATACATTTACATTCGTATATATACACAGGTATATTTAAATATTTAAACTTTTGCTCGACTCAAAGCTAATCTTTGGAGAAGCTTAAAACGTTTGCTAAAGTAATTACTTTCATTGAACGCGTTAACCATTTAAAAATAGTATAGATTTTCTACAAACTTAGCATTTGCATTTAGTGTTAATTTCTCTTCTAGACTTCTGGAAGATTCTAAAGAATATACAAAGGATAAATATTATGTCGATAGATTAAGGTTTTTTGATCGACTTATGCCCGATTTCTTCACAGAGGATTTCTTCACAAATTTAATTTGGTTTTACGACCGTGTTTAAGCCCATATTTCGAGCACGCAAATTTAGTGAACCTTTTAATATTTAGGTGACCCCTAACTTTCGGTGAAACAAAAACTGTCCCCTAACAACCCCCTAACCATGCTTAGGGGATCCCTTAAACTTAGCTGACCTTGGTGAAATCGGGCATTAGTGTACCTAGTCAATTTATGTGTAAGGATTTTTGTACACAATACGCAGCATTTTTATTTTCAATTTTGAACTGATTATCATAATTTTGGCTAATAAATGGGTCATTGATTATTGTACCTTAAATTCCAATAGGTACAAATATCAAGAGAACGTTCCACCACTAAGTGTTAAATAATTTATCTATACATATAATAAAATTCTACCTGAGTCGAATCTGTATACATTAAATATTTTTCGGAAAATCTTATTGAAATAGACATTATTATCGATATGGAGGCCGAATCTATCATTTTTAAAATTTTTGTCTGTCTCTCTGTCTGTCTGTTAACGCATCACGGAAAAACCACTGGAGCGATTTTTATGAAATTTGGTATGATGATAGCTGGTTAAAAGGGTCAACATTTAGGAAACTTTTTACTAAGGGAAAATGTCTTATTTCTGAGAAACCTATACTAAACGTTAAAATATAAATAGGGACGAACCCAAGCGGAGCAAGGGCGAGTCGCTAGTCTTTAATATGATTGTGAAGTCTTAGAAGTGAACTTTTATCTATTGAGCACTTATTTACATAACATTCAAAATTTATTTATTTCTTCAGGGCGGCGTATACTTAGTAGATCTACTCAACGTATACGGTCCAGGGTTGGCCATTCTATTTGTGGTGTTTGCGGAAGCCGCTGGAGTGTGCTGGGTGTATGGGGTCGACAGGTTTTCGGAAGACGTGCGAAGTATGCTCGGACACAAGCCTGGCTGGTTCTGGAGGGCGTGCTGGTCATATATCAGGTATGGATAATAAACGAAAAAGTTACATGCACGATGAAATATGTATTCGTATGTCATTATTATCAACCGACTTCCTCAAAAAGGAGGAGGTTCTCAATTCGGCTGTATCTTTTTTTTAATATTTGTTACCTCAGAACTCCGTCATTTATAAACCGATTTGGACAATTTTTGTTTTGTTTGAAATTGTATACTTCCAGATTGGTCCCATTTAAATTTCAAAAAAAATACCACCCCTAATGGTGGAAAAATAGCTAATGATGAATTTTACCTTCTTCTAATTGTCATATTGACTTGAAATTTTGCAAGTGTTTCTATTTCCGTTGATAGTATAGTGGTTCAGTATTGTTGACCTGATCTGATGGCAAGGCCAGAAGGTGGATAGGTGGAACTCTTCAACGGCTAATAGTAGATACTTTGAGTTTGGGCTTACTTTTTTTGATTTGACAAGCCTAACACGTTAGAATTCTTACTTTGCTACTACTTTCTACACTAAAAAGGGAAAAATAAAAAAGCCAGCCGATACAAAGCACACCGACTTCGAAAATATTTGATTAGGTATGTATAGTAAATGAAAACTACCAATCAGTTATTTTTTACTTTTTAGTGCTTTTGTTTGAAGTCGGTTTTTACTTTTTTGTTAAAAAGTTTTTATTCTTAATAAATAAATAAATAGCTTTTTCTTTTTAGATTTTTTTTCTTTTTAGGCAAGTTTAAAAGTTCGATTTGTTGTTTTAATATTTTTATTGAATTCAGTTTAGGCGATACTCAAATTAAACTAATATACTATAATAATACTATTGTAATTTTAAAATTAAATAATATTAGCTTTTTTATGTAATATTTTAATTATGTAAAATCTTGCGATATCAAAGTAGGTATAACTTAGTAAACACAGCCGTATTATTCTGAAGATTGCTCAATGAACTCTCAAGGGACGAGTTCATTCGTAGATATTATATATTTACATATACATATATAATACATATTATACATCTATACATATAATTTCTCCACGACCGCGGAAACGCCGGCGTTACAATTAACAATAGATTTCTTAGAAATTTAATTACTTTCTTAGAAATTTACCTGGAGATGATAATAAAATTCTAACAGAGTTGAATCTTTAAGATAAATATTTTTCGAAAGTCTTATTGAAATAGCCATTATTATCGATACAGAGGTCGAATATATAGATTTGATAATTTTTGTCTGTCTGTCTGTCATCAGGAGAAAACGACTGGACAGATTTTGATGAAATTTGGTATGACGATAGCTGATTATCCGTGTCAACATATACGATACTTTTTACTGTGGAAAAATATATCATCGCTGAGAAATCTATACTAAACTTTAAGACTAATATTTATTCTTAATTGGAAAATACTAAGAGTAAAGCAAGAGACTCGCTCTCTACATGACAACGAAAAACTTTATAATATAATATTTTATGTATAATTTTTTCTTGCAGTCCAGTATTTCTACTCGTCCTGTTCGTGTTCTCCGTGTTGGCACACGAAGAGATGTTGGGCGGCGAGTACATATACCCGCGCTGGTCCATCGGAGTGGGCTGGCTCATGACGGGCACCACCGTGTCTTGCATCCCGCTCTATATCCTGTACAAACTGTGCATTACACCGGGCAGTCTTGCTACTGTAAGTACATATTTAAAAAAAAATATTGCACTGTTTTTTTAACAATAGCTTATAGGGTATGCTAAGGTGTTCTTAGAAGTATCGAGAATCGAGAAGAATCTTTGAGATAATTTTTGGCGAAAGAATTTATTGATGATTTATGTTGATTTTTTTGTTCTTTTTTTTTCTTATTGAGAATCAAACTTGCAACTTAGATGAACTAGTTCAAAATAAACATACTTTTTTGTTATTTTCTTATACTATACCAATTGTGGTTTTCATTGTTTGGAACTTACTTTTTAAATGTATATTTTTTTCATAATCTTATATATAGATCAAAAACTTTTCCCTAATAATATTATATTTCAATTAAATATTAATACAAATATTTTATTTTTTATTTTTAGCGCATCAAAATAATAAAGCGTCCAATCGAGACCACAATACCGCCAGCAGACCAAGTCTGCAGTCTGTGACCTACCGACACCTACCACTACAAATCCTACCATTACCACCTAGAAACGAAACCACCTACCATAGAATGGCTTGTATAAGATTTTATATTAATTATAATTATTATAAAACGATCAACACAATTTAAAAACATAAATTAGTTTGTACTTTGTAGCATTGTTTTATAATAGAAAATCGTTTTTCTTTTATACATATATATTTATAGTTATCTAGTAAAATTGAAATATACCTAATATAAATAAACTTATGTGTGTAGAAAGCTTAAATATTTACCTAAACATGTAGAGGGTGTTCTATTATATCGTAATTATTGTATAATATCGTGGTTACCGTTATAAGCAAACATTACTGTGTGAGTTTCCCATTGAAAGGTCAAATCGTTTGATCGCACAACTTAGTTGGCGTTTCTATATGAGATATATTGATAAATAGGTTATAATTAAAATTATATATAAAGTTTATAGTTTATAGTAAATAATAATCGCGCGGGTCTCAACATGAGGCTTTTTGAAATATAATATCTATTATATATATATATATATATATATATATATATATATATATATATATATATGAAATATTTTAGAATAGAATGTATTAATAACCAAATATACGTAGTCAAAGTAGATTATCTAAAATATTAAAGGCATAGGTGAAAACTTTAACATATTAAATATAACGAAAATATTACATGTATATAATTGTACATATTAAATGAAATGCTGATCGGACTATAATATTTGTTTTTTACATATTAGATTGAATACATCGCGTTTTGTTTTTTTATTTTTTCCTATGTAGGTATCGAATGTAAGTGAATTTCTAACATTTCTACATCCTCGGGCAATGGATGCAAAAATGTTATAAATATATGTAAATAATATTTATCAAAGATACAATTTGATAATTTCATTTTTTTAATCTAAATATACATAAAATCTTTAAATATAATTTGTTAGAACAATTGTGATGTGTGTAGACATGTTAAATATATAAAATTATTACGATATGTCGTTAGCTCGTTCATAATAAAATCATATCGATGCTTCGTAATTTAAAAAAAAAAATAAAAAAAATGATAGAGTTGGAATTTGACGTTTATTGAGCAAAAAAAAATAACGCATCTATTCCTAAAATATAAGATTTACTCATTATAATAATAACTACATAAATTATTATTCACCTGCTGTTTATAATCTACGTATAAGATATAGGCATATTTAAAGAAAAAATATATAAACAAATATTATTAAATGTTAGAATTTAGAAATATGCTTGATGTGTGTACTAAATGTATTTATAAATAAGGTAAATAAGAAGTTCATATACCCACAGTGTTACCATATTTTTAGTGATTTTGTTCGTGGTTGATATTAACGATGATTTATTTTTATATATTATCTGTAGTGGAAAAAGTTTAAAGTTATATAATCTGTAGTTAATAGTTAATGTTGTTCGGTGTTAGAATAAAATACAAATGAATAGATGCGGCCTGTGTCAGCCATTACAGGTCCGTCTGGACATTTGTTTATACATGAAGCTGTTTTATTTTCACTCTCTTATAAATTATAATACAAATATATCCTTTAGCAATATTCTTGCGGAACAGATAGAAAACTTTAGAACACCAGACACCTCACTAATGAAAGATCTCACTGCTATATTAACGTATTTTGCCGATGGTAGCGCCACAACCATATTGCGTATAATACGTATACATACATACATACTACGTTGTATATATGAAGGGGTTTGTTAGGTCCACTGGGCAGTTTAGTTTTTAATAAGATCTCAATCTGAATATTTCTTTGTACCCAAACTTGAAGCTTTAAATTCTCTATTAACATAATGTTGTATGTAATCAACCCATTTTTGTTACGTACCACTTCTGAGCACGGGCTTCCCTTAAATATAAGGGGATCAGGCCACCCTGGCCAAGTGCGGGTTGGCGGACTTCACATATCTTTCGTAAACTTGCTAGGTTCTCGCAGACATGCAGGTTTCCTCACGATGTTTTCCTTCACCGTAAAGCAAGTGGTAATCATGTAGGGAAATGATACGCACGTGAAAATATCAGAGGTGCAAAACCCGGGATTTGAACCCGGTTCACTCGGTTTCCCAAGCGAGCGCGCTACCACTGGGTTACCACTGCCTACCTATAATTTTATAGGTGATAATGAATTCCCTAGCCCCTGTGCATGTATAAACTACTGCAGGAGCCATTTAAATTTTCCTCATTTAATTAATGACAGGTAGGTTTATGCCACTATAGTGATAACTCAGTACAAACTACAAATTATTACTTATAATCTATACATAAAATAAAATTGTAACTAAACTGAATCTGTACATTAAATATTTTTTGGAAAATCATATTGAAATAAACATTATTATCGATACAGAGGCCGAATCTATAGTTTTTAGAATTTTTGTCTGTCTGTCTGTCTGTTACCGCATCACAGAAAAACCACTAGAGGGATTCTGATGAAGTTTGGTATAGTGATAGCTGGTTATCCGGGTCAAGATATAGAATACTTTTTACCGCGAGAAAATGTCTCATTTCTGAGAAAAAATACAAAAACTGCAATGTAAGAGTATACTAATTTGTAACATCTAAGAATTTGATTTTGGATCATCTGAACGCGGGCGGAGCCGCGGGCAATGCTAATAGTTAATATCTACCATGTAAACTATGCCTATTGGATCTCCTGAAAACCATAAAACAAAGAATTGAATTGAAATGAATCAATTTTAGTGAAAGCATATTAAAATCGTTTGAACTTCAAATTTATATTAAAACAGAGATCATTTTTCTCTTTTCTTTTTTGATCTTTGCTAAAAGAGGTTTTACTTTTAAGTCAAATAAAAAAAAATGAAACCATCTAGTTTTGACGAATTGTGACATCTCTACTTGTCTATTTGAAGTAGTCAAAATGAATAACAGCTAAAATTAAAAATTTCTAAAATATAAAATTGGCGAGATGAGTGTTAAATTGTGAGTGAAAATGTTAAAGCAGGGAACGAGAACAACGTGCTACCGGCCTATGCATGGCGGGAAAAACTGTAAGCTTCAATACACACTACGTAAGTTTATTTACTAAAGTTAAGTACATTGTCTCTAAGCTTTTATTAATCTAGTAATCTTCTAACTTTTTGACTTACACTCCACGGTCACTTCATGTCTGTTTATGGGTATATCTGTTTGCTTTATACGCAGAAAGTACTTACAGAACGGATATTAATCTCTCCACGACCGCGGAAACGCCGGCGTTACAGTTAACAATAGATTTCTTAGAAATTTAATTAATTTCTTAGAAATTTACCTGAAGGTGTTAACTAAAATTTGTGTAGTGATAACTTATTACTTGGATCATCATTTAGGATACCTTTTACTGCAGAAAAAACTCTCATTCCCGCGAAAAAATACATTAACTCGGCCGAGTTGACTTCATAAAAAAATTTCAATGATTTATTATGTAGGTACACAAAATCTTTTAGTAGCAAGGTTATGATTAAAGTCCGCTAAAATCTCTCATTTATATTGGAAAATGCAAAATTTAGTTCAAAAGAAAGTCGCTGTCTGTTTCTCTGCTTACTTCTTAACCACGAAATGTGTTTTGATACAGATTTCACTGATAGAATGAGAAATAAACTAGGGAGGTGTGTGTATTTTATTTGTAAATAATTTGTAAAAGATTTCTTACGATATATATTTATTTATTGAAAACGTACCAAAGGAGTAGGGACGCACCCGAACGAAGCGAGGGTAAATCGCTACAACAATGATAAATATCTACTGTTTGCCATTGTAGTGCAGACAGAAAGATATTAATGCAGGCCGTGAAACCATGAAAGAAAAATATTAAATATTTCTGAATGTTCTATAGAATCGGTACGAGTCCCAATTAGAATCGATAGCGAAATGGCTGAGTTGCAACGGGGAGGTGTGGGGGATGGGCCCCACGGTCGTGTTCGCGAGCGCCGCCGCCCTCTTCCTCTACAACGAGCTGGAGGCGACCGTGTTCCTAGCTGGCGATCACACGCGAGTGTCGCTGATGGAGAAGACCCTTATAGTTAGTGCTAGCACTGTTAATAGCCAATGGTAGACTCAACAGCACACTATGGACCTTACTACTAAGATCTGGATGTCTTCTTAGTCGATTTTGAGAATAAGTAGCAAATTTCACTAAGCGTACGTAACAAAACTTACTTACTTAAAGGTGTTTACAAGTGCGCTCTTTATTATTTGATTTTCATAGTATGTACCATAAAATGATATTTCGAATTAACTGGAGGAAGATCCGGCAAGGCTTCCCGAGCTGAGACACCACTAATATCCCAACTTCTACCTGCTAACACTTTTTTTTGCTTAAAACCAGCATCTTGATATATTTACCGTAAATCATTTCACCAATAAGAAAGTGACGGTATAGTTATAATAGGTACTTAAACACTAAATAGTTGCAGTGCTCACGTTAAATTTATTATGTATTTCATAAAAATAACAAATCTACTATTTTGTCCAACAGTCCACAATGATCCTGGGAATGCTGGCGCTGATGATCCATCTTTGGGTGTGCTCAATGCGCTTCTTTCAGTACTATCTGGACACCCTTATTAAAGATGTACGTGAATATTACGCATAAATAATAATCTTGATAAACAAAAGAAAAATTGATGTGTCCACTCATGAACCATCCAGCTCAGATGAAATTGTATTTATTATTTGTAGAATAATAATAAACAGTATATACAGAAATTTAACTCAAAAAAGGAAATTTTGAGATAAACCCATCGCAAAGTAAATTCATGTCGTGGTTTTGTTTATCACATAATTATTAAACTGCCAATAAAAAGACAATAAAAAGTTCATTGTCTAGCTCTCGTCCGATCTGAAACCTCGTCCAAATAGTTTGAGTATTTACCACAAACTTTGTACCTTTAAGGTACTTTTCGTGGTGTTGACATAAAATACAAAATCATTTTATTATTTATGCCATTGTACAGATAATCATACGTAAAGAAATATTTTTCTTAACAGAGCCCGAGCGTGCTCCTAGAAATGACAACAGCGGGTTTCCTCGGCCAGTCAGAAATAATTCCTCTAGGACCTTTGACGAGGTTTCTAAAGCAGCAACAGCCCCAAATCCACATCACAGTCTGCTGGTTCCTCTCCCTCTGCTACGCGGACTACGTGCGCAAACATTATTGCCAACGATTCAACATGCCATATCTGGAGCAGTGGTTGGTAAATGAGATGACATGATCGCTAATTAATTTCGTTAATTTAATTTCAAAATAAAAAGTATAGACAAATATATTTAAGCGATGTGACTCATTAAATTTTTACCTTCTAAGCTACAGGACGCAGGTTAGAATGAGTACTGATAAGTTTTTTTTTCTATAAACTAGCCAGGGATGATGGTGAAAGATAAAGGATAAGGATGTACGACATTTACAGCAGTGTCAACTAATGTGTGATGGAACAGCCAGAATATATACTTAAAGACCACAATAGAAATAATTTATAAATCTAAGAGTAAATGAGAACAGAAATATCTAAATATTATCTACATCAGACTTCATAAATCTTATATCAATCGTATCTTTATAAAGCAATCGTATCTAAGGATAAATAATTTACTGTGACTTTCAAACTTCATACTAAGTGTCGATGTGTCCCTGCAGGCAAGCCGAACTGCACGAGCGCGCGTCCCGCGGCGTGTACACCACCATGCAGAAGGTGAACAGCCTCGTGGGCTCGCTGCACCGCCGGCTGCGCGGCTACACAGGCCCACCGAGTGACGTACACACGTACGACGTTACTATGGTTCATTCTGTTCATTTGTTATGCCTTAGCATTTTGCACATGGCTAGATTAGTTCGTTTTGAAAACTCACGCCATTTTTTATATTACCTGCATTGAAATAACCAAAAATAAGGTATAACAAATACAATTATTTTGTTATATGTATCTAATCGTTTGCTTACCACTTATAACCATGGCCTGCATTGGTATCTACTCGGCCTGACTGAGAGCTCAAATTTTGGCATAATGTAATCGGAGTATTTAAATTAAGGCTTAAGTAATATTTAAAACTTACTTCAACAAACTCAAATGAACTTTGAACTTACCTACTAAAAAATTGAACTTCATCCAACTCCCAGAAAAATGACAAAATATAATCACCATAAAAATACTGAAGCACAGCTATAGTGAGGATATTATAACCTAGAGTGAGAGCGCACCCCCCAAGCCCTCGGCGGTGGAGCTCCGAGGAGCGGCCTGGACGCCGAGCCGCTCCGCGTGCTCGCTGTGCTCCCGCGCCGGGCGCTGCGCGCGCGTCCTCAGCCAGTCCAGCGAGACCGCTGATACCATTGAGAAACTCAGAAAATATATTGCGGTAATATACTTATTTGTTATCTGATCTTAGGTGGGCTTCTTTATCGATTGATTACCTATGCACATAACTCATAAAAAATGATGTAATATATAAGTACCTATATATTATCTCTCGTCTCTTCTAATCTTTTTTATGTGCAATTTCAATTGAAGAAAGGTAATTTGTCAAATGAAAATCGGTTAATTGCGTTAATGTAAGTGTACAATGTAAAACACATAGTGACTATATTATTACTAATAGAGGTATTGTTTGATGTATATTTTTTTGTTAACCCTACTCTTGAAATATTTTTTTTTCTTAGTTATTATTAAATTATATTTTATCATAATAGATATCCTTACTTTTAGTCATGTGTACACTATTCCCAAGGCAGTGGTAGCTCAGTGGTAATGCGCTCGCTTGGGAAACCGAGTGAAGAGTTCAAATCCCGGATCTCGCACCTCTGATATTTTCATGTGCGAATCATTCCCAACATGATTACCACTTGTCTTAACGCTGAAGGAAAACATCGTGAGGAAACCTGCATGTTTGAGAGAACCTAGTAAGTTTTCAAAAGGCATGTGAAGTCAGCCAACCCGTACGTGGCCAGCATGGTGGACTATGGCCTGATTCCCCTTGTACTAATGGGAGGCCCGTGCCCAACAGTGGGACGTTCAAAAGGGCTGAATACATACATACATACGTACACTATTCCTCAGTGATTTAAGTCGTATTTGCCTTTATATAATTGATCAAAATTCATAATACTCGGTTAATAATTTGATATTATTATATTAGTATACAGTCCCTGATCACAATTATGTACAAAACAATCTAGTGTATGAATATTTAAATGGCAGGAAACCCGATGTTCCTGCAGCGGTACGGCGGACGCCGGCAAGTGCTCTTCTCGCTCAATCCTGCCGCAGGACGGCGCGCTATGACCACCTCCCCTCTTGGTTGTTCGACTCGTATCCCATATATACATAATTTTGTTTAATGTGCAATAAATATGAAAACAAATTTTCGTTTTATTTTAAAGGTATATTTTATATAGCAAAACCCGTTATTAGAGCACCTTAAACTGTCAGTCCTGAGCGAGAGCTGTGCCTGTTCTCTTACTTATCACGTCCAATTATCGTACCAAAGGAATATGAATTATTGGCACGTATAAGTGGGTATGTACACACTATATTCCTCTCATAGGAGAGGGATATAGTGTGTATGCGGCCTACCTAATAATGGTAAAATAACTGCCTCGTTGGTGAAGTGGCTAGCATGTACGGCTGCACACTCGGAGGTCCTGGGTTCGAGTCCCGGGTCGGGCCAAGTTTAGTTATTGAGTCTTTCTGTATAGTAAGTTTCAGTAACAGCCCGAAGTTGGCGGTGTTTCACCCCCGTGCCTCAGAGAGCACGTAAAGCCGTCGGTCCTGCGCCTTAACTCTCACCGGTCGTGTCGAGCAGTCGTCCCACCGGAGTATGAGAGTGACAGGAATAGAGAGTGCACGTTGTGTCTGCGCGTACACTTGTGCACTATAATATCTCCTGCGCAGTTGGCTAGTCTCAATGAGATTGGCCGCCGTGGCCGGAATCGGCTAGGAGAACATCACATCATCAATGGTAAAATAACACTCAACACATTCACTATCACATACGCTCTATTCCCCTTTTTTATAGTCCGATGGGACACCATGCTGAAACTATTCGTGCAGTGTATGGTTATGATATACATTATGCAAGTAATATTGTGTTAATATGAAATATGTTATTGCTGAGAGATAGTAATATCTCCGCAGTCCATCTTTATATATAAAATTCCAGTGTCCCTGTTCGTAATTATTCTCTTATCGGCTTGACCGATATTGATGATATTTTTTACGTACTTATTGCGTAGCCTAGATGGTACTTTCCTATAGTTAGACGTTAGGTGGCAGTGTTGTCGTGATACTGATTCTTTGAAACAATTCGGATCAAAGGACATCATGAGTAACGACACAGAGGCCGAATCTATCATTTTTTAAATTTATTTCTATCTGTCTGTCTGGGAAAGCATCACGAGAAAACCACTGGACAGAATTTGATGAAACTTTGTATTAGTATGATGAAAGTTGGTTATCCGGGTCAACATATAGGATACTTTTTACTGCGAGAAATTCTGCATCTTTGAGAAATTTATGCTAACCGTTAAAGCATATTTACATAGGAACGAACCCGAGTCCCGAATGCCGGAGCGAGGGTGAGTCGCCATAGTTATATATAAAACTGCTAAATTCTAATTAGCTGACACACTATTACACTAATTAGATAAGATCCGAGGTTTTATATTTTTTAAATACATTTTAAATGTCAATGTCATTAACAGTGTGATACATCATGGCCACGCCATAGCAATATGATCACCTAATAACCCCATAATTCTGATTTTAAGTAATAATGAAATTTACTTTTTTATTTTATGTTAAATTTATGTATCGCCTGCTTTAATACGTTTTGTGATGTGGTGTTCAGTAATCTTAGATTATGTGAAAAAAGAAAGTATACAGGTGGTTACAGCTTTACGATATCGCTTGTAGGGTAAAATTAGAACTTAGTGATTGAGCTCTTCATCTTCCTGCAGTTTTTCCTTTAAACAATCATCTGTGCTTAATGCTAAAACCAACATTGTTGATCCACACCCACAAATTCTTAAATAATCCCAATGATACTGGCATTCCCTTACCTACAGCTCCGTTACATTAAAAGCAACTACCTTCGTATGTGGGCCTGTCAATGTTAATTTATCGAATAACTAGCGACTCACTCTCGCTTCGCTCGGGTTCGTCCCTAGATACGTTTTAAATTAAAATGGATATAGTATGTTATTCTTAAGAGATAGACATATGCCATCGCGGACTTTTCTGTAGAGCTATATAACATACACACAATTCATATACACAATTCCACCATACATTATTTTGTTATATCTCAAAGGGTTTAGGCTGTGCGTTTTCGTTGAAAGCTCCCAGACGTCTTATTTTTTCCGACGCCTCCAACAAATATCGTTATATTTTAGCCAATGTATACAAAAACTTAACAAATTATATACTAAAACCTTCCTCTTGAATCACTCTATCTATTAAAAAAAACCGCATCAAAATCCGTTGCGTAGTTTTAAAGATTTAAGCATACATAGGGATATAGGGACAGAGAATGCGACTTTGTTTTATACTATGTAGTGATTTAGCATCAGATATTAAACGCGAGTTTGTAAAATAACATAACGCAGATGTTATCTAGGAACATTGCTTTAAAATTACTATTTTCCAGCTTCTAGTTCGCGCGAAATGTGGTGAAAGCTATCTATCAATAGTACCGACATTCATATGGACGATTGGTGCCGCAGCGCTCGCGCACAGACTCATATCAGCAATGTTTAGGAGATTTATGTTCAGACGTGTGCCACTGTGGGAAGTTGTCATACAGGTATTAGAACCGTATATGTAAATAAAATAAACCTAATATCCTCTAGGTATGAGAAAAAATAGATTTAGGCTGTAGCTTTACTTGGTGTCCGGGATATCCAATTTGATAAATAAACTATTGTCGCTTTATATTCATAACTCGTCCATTTCATGTACTTACCTAAAATATTTAGTAAATTTTTAAGAAAAACTTTACGAGCAAGCTGAAAGAAACATACATACACAAGTAGCTCTGCTATGATTCTATAAGGATATAATTTGAACCTAATGAAACACGTACTAAGAGCGAGCGCCAAGGCGGAGTTCGTGAACGTGACAGGGGGACGAGGTGGTCTTAAGGTGTAAATGGATCCTTCAAATTCAAAGGAAACCTTTAACCTGTTTTGTGGACATTGTTTTCAATTTTCCATATAATTAAGAAATAAAATTCATATACAACAATTTTTTCACTTATATTCTGGCTCAATATTTTAGCCTCGTCAAAGATTGTATTGAAATGTAACATAAAACTATTTATATTTAGCATTAACTATTGCCTGCGTTATTTTTTGATATGCATCTAGCATGTGTTTTCATTTTTAAGTTCAGAATCACTAAGTAAATGTTTACTTATATTACTAACTATAGCGACTCACCCTCGCTACGTCCGGGTTCCCTAGGTTGATTTCCCATACAAACTTACACTTAAGGGATGATTTCCGGAATAAAAATATCCTATATCCTTCCCAGAGACTCAAACTATATTCTTACCAAATTTCATTTAAATCGGTTCTGTAGTTTTTGAGTTTATTCGTTACAAACATACAAAAATACAAATCTTTCCGCTTTAAAATATTAGTGTAGATGAGATACCTACTGTTTAAAATTAATTTTTAATCTATGCTAGCTTAATAATAAAAAAACTTTTTGTTTTAGCATCTTCTATTTATTTGGATGATAATATACAGTCTTCATTTTTGGGGTCTTGTCGTAAAAGTTATGAAATTTTTCATCGAATATTGTTACACACCAGTGAGTATGTCTACCAACTTTAATTTTAAATTAACACAATGTAACATTAAATAGGTATACCATTTAGCCGTAACAAATATATTTTAGTTTAGAATTAATCCATTTATCTCTGACTTTATTATAATAATACTTCTCTCCGACTTTATGAATACATATTTATATTTTTAGTTCCTAGATCTTTTCCATAATATAACTTGGTTTTTGAGAAGTAGTTATAGTTTTTTTGATTTTCCAGCGTTTTTAATATTTAACAATTTTATAGTGTTCTTCTAGTCTGTATATTTTAAAGCATGTCTTATAACAGTAAGGATTCACATAAGTATTGTTCACGAAAAACTAATAGTTTATGAAAACGACAATTTCTAATTTTCCTTATTTAATGATATCGTTCAAGTTTTATTTGTTTATACTTTATTTTAGGAGGAAGGTTCAACATTGACCATCGAAGATATAGAAAGTTGTAAAATAATGCAACAGTGGATGATCTGGATGTGTGCGATAGCGCCTCTCGCTATCTACGTACAGACTCGACCTAAGCCTGTCGCACCACCGCTCATGATATGGTAAAACTATGAATTGAACAAAACAATTAATATCTAGGGCTAAATATAATACTTCCTTAGATTTACGCGAATATTTGTCATTTTTTTAAATTATAAAAATATTTAAAATTAAAAATTAACAAATATTGAAACGTATTTCGATGCAATTTTTGAATTCATTTTGTTATACCTCTACGTAGTAGAGTGTATTTGAAAATTTAAACATTATGAAATTTTGTTGTATGTATGTACCAACATAACTTATTACGTCTAAACTTGCGGATAACGCATTTATTAAGAGTTATCAATAATTTTTCTAGTATTTTAAATAAAACTATCTTTTTGTATTTTTTCGCGGATTTATTTAGATTTTTGGTTACCGACATTTTGAATGCTTTACAGCAATCATAGTCACGGGAGAGACTGAGGTTTAAGATGTCTCAAAGACATTATATTATTGTTACAGACAACCTACCTACAAAATAACAAAATGAATTCAAAAATTGCATCAAAATACGTTTCAATATTTGTTATATTTTAATTAATAGTTGTACTAGTACAACTATTAGCTTTTTTATCAGTTTAATAAAACAAAACCAAGCAAAATGATATGAAAGTACAAAAAAAATATCTACTTGAAATTTATATAACGTGTAATTTTTTTAACAGGATAACTGCAAGTCCTTGGCAACGTAGGGAGATGGGGGCCTATGGGTACTATCTCAACAGACCGTTCTCCTCGCTAGAACAATCAGCGAATGTATCTATTCGATTACAAGCCCTCACACTTAGAAAAGCCTTCAGCGATTCTAAAACTATTATAAAAGAACCGCCAAGAAAAAGACGAAATTCGAAATCTATCTGATTTGTAATTTATAAATAAATGTTCAGAAATATATGCGTTATTTTAATTTAGCCTTTTTTTAAATAGTCCATCACTACATGCTAACAGGATAACAATGTCAGAAACTACTATATTAATAAATTTCAATTTTCTGTTCTCACGTCTGTAAAGATTTTAAAGGAATAAAAATTATAGCAAAAATTTTACAAATCTTTAGTTAATAGATTAAATAAATAGTCAGTAAATATGTCACGTACTGTGGGAACCGACCTTACGACTGTTGCACACTGCAAATAAAAAAAAACATTAGCGCCACCTAGCTCAGAATTATCACATTAAAATCTACCACATTTTTAATTGTTATGACCTAATTATATAAAACCTTTTTAGACAAAAACAAAGTCAAATACCTGCATCGATCAACAGATGTCACTATAACATTAATTAAATCGCGTTGGCAAGATTCTCGGGGATGGGTATATAAAGGCTGCGGCGGAGTGTCAGGGCATACTAACCTTGCGTAGGGTGTACCGCGATCAAGAAGGCGGTTGCCCCGGGCCGGCCCCAGGCATTGCACCGCGCCTGGCACCTGCCTGCCTGTGACTATCTCACGTTGGGATACGTCGTACGCATAATTTTTGGTAGTTGGACTTGCGTTCTGCGCAGTCCATTGAAATAATCAAAGATGACTTAACAGTTTTATTTTCTTACATATATTAGAAAATGGCGTAATGAATGCACAATTTAAATGTCACCTAAATTATTTACATTTTAAACAACAAATAAATATATTTAAAGGCGCAATGTCAAAATTACGTTTTTTTTTTTAATTTTATTGCTCATAAGCGTAGCGTAGACAAACAGCCGTAATACAAACACGAATTCATTTTCCGCAATCAAAAAAGTGATAAGCCAGCAGCACGATTTTTCATTTTGATTGCAAGCACGTATTGCAATTTGCAAGCCGTAGCCGTTTATTATCTCTAGAAAACGCTCAGGCTTAACTCCCAATCATAAATAGCAAACCTATCACGACTCTACATATATAAAAAAAATCATTTACATAATATATATAAATTCCATTGTCTATAGCCACATAATATGAAGCACATAGAAAAATAGATATTATAAGATAAATAAAAAAAAATTAAATATTCGTTGATAATATATTTAAATAAATTAGATATTTTTTTCTTTTCGAGTAATATCAACTTTATATTGCGTGTTACACTTGTTTTATTATAAAAATCATAAAACTTATACTTCTATTATCCTATTTCCAGATTAAATATAAATAACCCTATATTTTTTTAAATCTCTATCGGTCGGTGAATGACATTAAAATTTCAATCCCATTAAAGCTTTCCTTTAAGAAATTTTATTCTATGATCTACCAGTCTTGCCCGATTTCTCTACAATACTCGGATTAAATTCCCGAGCTTAAATATAAATAGCACAGGTGAAAAAGAAATAACAGTTTACCGTTGGTATAATGCAAATAGCCATGTGAACTAAATATTTTCAATTTTTATATATTTTTAATCAAGACAATATTTATTTGTATATTTTTTTGTTATAAGTTAATATAGATTATATTAAAATAATGCAATCTATACTGCCGCATTTAGTCAGAGCAAAAAAGCCAAACGATAAAAAACAATATCTAAAAAATAAGCGACTTTTATATGAAACTAGCGACTCAATGTCGTTCCGCTCGGGTGCGTTCCCTAGGAACGTTTTAATGGTTAAAATAGATTACTCAGAAATGATTTCCTCGCAGTAAAAATTATCTTATATATTCAGCCGGATAACCAGCTATCATCATACCAAATTTCATCAAAATCTGTCCAGTGGTTTTCTTGTGTCAATAATGATTAGGTACTATATACTATTTCTATAAGATTTTTCAAAACATTTAATGTACAGATTCGATTCAGTTAGAATTTTATTATATGTATAGATTTAAAAACTTAGTGCTTGAATTGTAATCTTTAGATATCTTGTAACCGTTTGTAACTGTGTACACTACAGACTGCAGAACACGCTGTGTTCATGTGTTATATTCATTATATTATTGTTCAGTAGAATATGTACGTGAACGGGTTAAAAGAATCTAACAATTAAATACTTGTTTAATTAGCACTTTAGAAAAAAGTATATAGTACAATTTATAATTTGGACCCGACGTGTATAGCGCGCGCATGGAGAAAAAGGTGAATGGTAATTAACACCTCCAGGTAAATTTCTAAGAAATTAATTAAATTTCTAAGAGATCTACTGTTAACTGACACGCCGGCGTGTCGGCGGTCGTGGAGGGATTAAAGCAAGTAGAATTGCGTCCGGTGGCGGGGGCCCGCAATGCCTATGTGTGCGTAGACGTAGGCTAAGACGCATTGTATGTGTGCGTTACAGCTTAGTAGGCGAAACGGCGTTAACAATTATCATCATGTTTATTGTCATACTGAGTTTGGGTTGCTTTTCTAAATTTTGTGTTAGAATTTAGTTCATAATATTATATGGAAATCCCATGGTATAATTTGAAAAAAAAAAGCTGTTTAACTTTTAGCCTACATCAATTTTATCTCTTACTCTCACCAGTAACACTTCTAGCACAAATTGTATTAAAAAATAATAGACAAATTATGAAAGAAAACAAAATAAATAACATAGCAGTATATTACCATACTTCAACAACACAGTACTAACCGAGCTCCAGAACTAACAAAACGCGACTTATCAGCGGCACTGTGCAAAGAAAAAAACACACCGTCAGATATATTTTATTTAAACAATTGTAAAAAAACAATTATTTATAAAAAAAAAACAAAACCAATTTATTGAACATGCTATATACAATTTTCCTTGCAATACTAACAGTACGACGCTTCGCGCTACGTGTCTGTGTCGCCGGTTGCGGTTTTCTTCAGGTTTTTGAGCTGGAAACTTTTTAAGGGATCACTTTGCCGAGCCTGTGAACAAAAATAAAATTAATTACTCTCAAAAATGTCTCCGCTTTATACGGAACCTGATATTACAGCGAGATTCAATATATTTTTGGATACAAACAACCTTTTTATATAAAACAAATTAAACCTATCTATATACCTATGTAAAACATCGGTATATTTTGTATAGAAAATATGCATGACAGAGTGGTTTTTAAAGGCAGTAAATATGACATAATTAAAAACATAATATTCAGATTTTTTTACAAGTAAAAAAATCTTTATTTAAAAAACACATCTTAATTTAATACCAAAATTAAAAATTAAAATACGAGTTTAATGCGGTGAGAGAGAGGGACAAAGGAATCGCCGAGCCGAGTGGGAAGAGAGTCTGAGAGCTACGAGCGCGTCACCGCCCCAACAGCCGGTATAACCCGCCGCATTAGATGTTTCACATCACAAATATTATTTTCTTTATATTTTTATACACATCCCAAATTCTAAAATAAAAACATAAAAAACAGACCTAACCAATATATTTTAGAGCTGCCCAATTTAGAATTGACATTATTTTATATCACAAGACTCACATTATACTTATGCCGCTTAGCACTACCAAAGTTGCCGGGTTGTTTCCTCTTCTTAGGAGGAGCTGGAGTGTCCACCTGGGCTTCTGCCTCTCCCTCCTCACTCCTCAATGCAGCAGGCAACAGGTATTCTGGTACATGAGCTAGTTGTGGCTGAAGACGGACAGTATGCAAGGCCTTGTCCCGCTTGAGAGCGGCCAAGTCTGTGGGATTCTCTTCAAAATAACCCTGGAAAGAATAAAGTAGTGTTTAGAGATTTGTTTATATCATATTATTTAAGTGGTATATAGTGATATACTCAGAGAGAAGATTAGACGTTCATCAATGTGTTATGTTCAATGGTTGTCATCATATGAAATTGAATTGACCTATTTATATATATTGCCTGAAAAATTAAGACAAACATTCTTGCCTAATCTACACATATAATAAAATTCTAACAGAGTCGAATGTGGCTGTGTGTGTGTGTGTCTGTGTCTGTACATTTAATATTTTATGGAAAATCTTATTGAAATAGATTTATTAATTTTATTTTATTTTATATTAATATTTAATTATCCTCAATTTAATAATAATTAAAATAGATTATAACAGCGTAAATCTCTAGTATAAAATAAAAATAACAATATCCCACATAAATCTATTGTTAACCCGCACTTGGCCAGTGTGGTGGACTATGGCCTGATACCTCTCATATTGAAGGCAGGCCCACGCCCAGCAGTGGGACATAAAAAGGGCTGAATACAAACAGCACGAACCTGCAACTTCTTACAGTTGAGCAGCTCCTGCTTGATCTCCTTGAGCCGCGCCTCCCGCACGGCGATGCGCGTGACGGCGCGCCACGCGTCGCGCGACCGGTAACGGAAGCCCTCAACCTCGTCCAGCGCGAACTCGTACTTTCTGGAATGTCATAGACAATTTTATAGTGACAATTTTATAGCCACAAAATATATAGATAATTATAGATAATATATTTTTGAAGACTTTTTTTTATTTATTGTACTAATATTGTTCTCATCTATACAGGATAAATAAAATGGAAGTGTCCGTTTGTAACATCAAAATAGCAAGCTTTTTAGTAAATACATATGGAATTATGTATGGTATTATAAAAAAAACAGTTTCAATTTTTTTTTGTCTCTCTGTCTATATGTTTGTTCCTAATCTCTAAAACAGGTGGACCGATTTTAACGGGACTTTCACTGGCTTTCACATATGTAGCTGATATTATAAGGAGTAAGTTAGGCTACTTTTATTTTAGAAAAAGAATTAGGGTTCCGCTCCAAAAAATCAAAACGTACCTAGAGACGCACCAGAGCAAATCGAGAGTAAGTCGCCAGTATTACTTAATTGTACACATAATTCATCAAAATGTACCATCAAATAAAAAAAATGTTGAAAATAAAACTTACAAGTTACAATATATTATATAAGTCAAAAAATATAAATGCTGTTTGGTTGACTGATATTTTTTTTATTTACTTCTGAAACAAATTAACTTACTGTAACACTTGTTGTCCGTTAAACCCTTTAGATAAGTGTTCCTCCACAGCATCCATCAGTGGCTTTTCTCTCAACGACACAAATGACAAGACTGAACCCTAAGCAAAAAAAAATATTTTTTAATAAAATACTATCTCAAAACCAGTAAAATAGTTATTTTCGCATTCAGAGCAAAAATTTTGAATCCATATTCAGTTTCTTAGCATACAAATAGAATATCATTTCAATTATACGTCACTGATACTGGCGGTTCTTCACACTCTCTTAGTTAATAGCATTTATATTTATTTAAAAGATCAGTTTTTATAATTTCATTTAAAGATGATCTGATGAATATATAAATAAACAAAAAACGTGTGTTTACTTATGTACGCACGTAAGAAGTTATACTTCTTTGGTGTAACAGAACAAAAGCAGCTAAAGATTTTATCCCGTGTGTCACAACTCTCTGTTTCTAAAACAACAGCTAAGCTTCATCATGTCGCTTTTTGGCTGTCGCTGTGCGCACGTATCGTAAAAATGTTACTCTTATATTTTTTTCCAAACGTGCCAAAAGAAGCATAACTTCAAAATTGTTCATCCTGTGCTTGTACTGATTCTTGCTCACTCGGACCATCCCGATCCAATCCTTTCCAAATTCAATAAACAACATCTTTCTATTGTATCCAAATATCCAATGACTGAATATTTTATTTCCAAACACATATGCATGTATTTCTCACTGCCATAGGTTAGCTGGAATAGATCTTTTTTAAAGTCCAATCCACGTTTGCAAAACTATTTTTTAGTATTTTAATTTCCGTATTTCTTTTAAGTGCAATTAAAAAAATTAACATGTAAGTTATTGTTACCTGGTTATTCCCCCGGGCGGTGCGCCCCGCGCGGTGCACGTACGAGTTCACGTCCAGGGGGAAGTCGAAGTTGATGACGTTGGACACGTGCTGGAAGTCTATCCCGCGGGACACACCCGACTCTTTGTCCTTTTTACGTTTTGACTTTTGCTGCGAAAATCGTTAAATCATGATCACGATAAAACAGCCCCAATTATTGATTGAATTATCACTTTGACAAGGTTGTACCTATGGTATGGTAAAATATCATTGTCATAATATGATAAATCCATCATCCCATCTATACTAATATTATAAATGTAAATGTTTGTGTGTATGGATGTATGGATGTTTGTTACTCTTTCACGCAAAAATTACTGCATGGATTTTATTGAAACTTTACAATAATATTGCTCATACTGCAGAATAACACATAGGCTACTTTTTATCCTGAAAATATGTACGATTCCCGTGGGATAGATTTGTTTCTGTTATTCATTATGGACAAACCCAAGCAATGTGAGGATTAGTTGCTAGTTTTGAAATAAATTACTTTGTCACATAAATAACAAAGAATTAACATACTTTCAAAAATATAAGCATGTTAAATATAAAATAATCATGTGAATATTAATTCCCATTAGGAAGCTAAGGCTAAAGCTCAAGACTCACCCTTTTTTTCTTTCCAATTTCTTCGCCCGCCAGCAAGCCACCATCAGGCTTCTCCAGAGCTTTTTCATCAGATGCCACTATTATCTGATAGCGTCCCCTATTAAATTGTTCCACTGAGAGACAGCGTACAGCAGCTGGCAGTTCTGAGTTCAGTACACATGAACCTATTTTGAACTGTTCCAAATATAATTTTAATCTGTAAATGATAAACATAACTAAGTAAATTATATTTTTATAAAATAAAAAAAGCAACAAAATTACCCATATGAGCAAAAACTCAAAAGATTTTACAAGTAATAAGAATAGCTATTGAAGAGTTCCACTACCCAGTCTTATCCAATCATATTATCTTTTCTGATTAGCTTTATGGTATTAAATTATTTTGTAGTGTCAAAAATTGCAAATTGATTCATTAAAATGTTAAAAACATATAATTAACATAAATCTTTACAAAAACAATAAATATTTTTTTAATTGAAATAATAAACTTACTTGTAACATCTATCAACAGTCCTAACAAAAATGATACTTTTGCCTCTAATAAGGTTCAATTTTAAAAGTGCATATAAAATGGCTGCCTTATCATCTTCTTCTGCAAAAAGATGGTAATGTTGTAATTGTGAAGATGGAGCTAGCTCTGGTTCTTCTAGTTTCAATGTCACTGGATTTCTTAAAACTATCTTTTTAAGACTTAATACATCATCTGATAGAGTTGCGGAAGCAAGAACTGCTTGATATATTTTAGGCAAATACCTGGAACCATGCAATTTTAATAAATTATACTAAAGAAACATAATTAAAAAATAATGTATGAAACCTTCGATAAATTTAAATTGAATTGATACACAAATATTTCAAGATTTCTTTTTTTTTACTATAATTTGTAAAATTGTTTTAATACCAACCCAAGTAACTCTTTAATTTCATCCTCGTAACCAAATGAAAACACCAAATCTGCCTCATCAACAACTAACACTGACAAATCATCCTTTAATCTCATACTATTTTCTTTCAAATGTACGAGAGCTCGAGATGGTGTAGCCACTATGATATCAGGTTTGTCTGATAATAAGGACTTTTGAATGTGCATATCTCCATTTGATGATATATCTATGCATCTTACTTCTCTGGCACACTTAAGTGTTAAATCACTTATCACAGATGTTATCTGGAAATGTTAAATGAATATAACTAATATATTTTTTTTATATTTCATTTCACAATTTGTAAATGTAATATTTTTTTAAAATAAAATCTTAATATGAAATTCTATATAATATAGTATGTTACCTGACCACATAATTCCTTACTCGGTGATAATATAAGAGCTCTGATACATTGATGCGCACTTGAATTTTTTAAATTTAATATTTTCTGTATAACTGGTATGGTAAAGGCTGCTGTCTTCCCTGATCCTGTTCTAGCTCTCATGAGTACATCTTTACCCTCAAGTAAGAGTGGTATTGCTGTCTCTTGAATTAATGTAGGATTTGACCATCCAAGTTGAGATATTGCCTAAAAGAGACTAGTTAAATTATAGATCCTAGATAGTGAATTTTAATAATATAATTTTTTAAGTCTTTAATAGCCCACGTTTTATATGACTAGGTGTTATGAAACATAATGTGAAGTAATGCTTCTGTTTCGGTTTTTCAAATATATATAATATTCATTAATAAGGTAGTATCTAAAATTCTTTTAATCTTCAGTATTAATTGTATTTATTTAAACCTATAGAACTACCTTTTAGTAAACCAACCTTTAAAATTCGATCATCAAGTTCCATTTCGTGAAACATAACCTTGTTTTCTTCACCCATCCTGTCTATCTCATTAATATTTGTTCTTGAACGTTAAAACTAAAATGTTATAGACTCAAACAATATACTATATTTCAAAACTATAAGAACCACGTGTTATTTATTACCAATAAAAATAAGCAAACTTGTAACTTGTAAGTTGAAACTACGCCGTCAGTATGATTTGCTGTCAGCACTCAGCAAGTCAGCACTGTTGAGTGTTGGCAGCACTTGAAATTTTATCCCCCTAAGAGCAATTTCGAAAACCCTAAAACCCCTTAACTGACAAATTGAAAAATTTAATAATAAATCATTATTTTTTTAATTTTTTATTTTAAATGATTACAAAAAGCGTAAAAAACTTATTTATGTTTATTACATATAATAATAATTACATATAACTATTTAATAATTATATTAAATTACATATTATAAACTGTATCTATATTATATCTATATTATAAACTGTATCTCGGAAACGGCTCCAACGATTTTCATGCATGCAAGGGGTTTCGGGGGTGAAATATCGTCGGTAATTTACACGTTCGGGCAAAAGCATCGTGGTCAAGCCGCTAAGGTGCAAGATCAACAATCACAGGTGTCCAGGTTCAAATCTAGGTCGCATACAAAGTTTTTAATTTTTTTTATATTTATCAAGTTTTTAGTTAAAAAAAAAAGAAAATTGTACTTTAGGTCAAAAACTCAGAGCCAAGCTCGGTAGCCCAGGCACTGAAATTTAAAGATATACTATTTTTCAAATCCTTAAACGAAACTTTATAAAACTTTATTTATATTTAAGTCATTCTATTAAAGAAGAAATCCCTAAAAACCCCCTAAACATTTTTTCCTCCAAAAAAACCCCGTTGCGATTTTTTGTCAAGTGTCAATTGTCATTTGGCATTCCGAAATCGGAATTCTATTTTATTCTGACGATACAATTATCAAAAGAGGTGAATGTTTCATTGTATTGTAAAAGAATGCAATTTGAAAATATGCAGTAGTTTTTGAGTATAAAAGTTTACTTAGTCTCATTTTTTAGAAAAGAAAACAACTTGTAATACATTTTGCTTTTTTCCTTTTGTAGTTATTATTAATAACTACAAAATTTAATTATATTTCCAAGGAAGCTCTGAATTCTGAAACGAGATAAATTTTCATAGAATCTTTCCTAATTGCATAACAGCTTTCTTTTACAAATAATTTGTTTATTTATTAAGATTAAGCAGTGGTAATAATCTAGCTTTGTTAGCAGTGAGAAAGTTAGGTGTTATAAAAACAGCTTTTGAAGCTTTTTAATTCTAAAGCAATGTTACCACTTACCAGGCACCACCTCCCTGCTCCAAAATATTCACAAATTACAATTTAAAACTATCCCGTTCAAAGGATATTTCTTAAACATAAAATATTATGAAATTTATTATTCAGATTTGCTAGAACCTGAAATACCACTACTATTGTTAGGCGCCTACAAAGAGCGTATAAAATGCATTCGAGCAAAGTGAGCAGGACAATAAGTCATTTTTATACATACTCGTATGAATCAAAGAAAACAAACAAACAAATATAAAGTTTTACTCGAACGAGTGATAATAAATATTTTTCGAAATTTTATGGTTAGGTTAATAAGAAGTGTAACGCGGGGTTTTTACAAACAACAGTGATCGCGGGGTATCGTGTCGGAACATGTACGATCCTGTAGGGCCGTGTTTCGTGCGATCGTACAGTTTAGGCGCCCGCGCCCCCCCGTCTCCCGCGAACGCTTGAGCGACGGCGTGGCTCGACGAGGCAGAGAGCCGCGAGCGCCGAACGCGTAAACATCTGTATCATAACGATCCTCCACGACTCTCATTTTCACGCAGTTGTAAGATTTTATGTAATTTTTTGTGTAATTTCCAATAACCATAAGTTTTCTTGTCAAACCTCAAGTGAAATAAATATATTTTAATAGACTGTTGTGTACCTATTAAACTGGCGCCCATACTAGTGGCTCGAACTTTTAAACTTATATACTAGTGCGTGAAGATGCCTATGACGAGGAGAGGGGAAACGCTTCGGCAGCAGCGAGGGGATGATGCCGCAGAGGGAGAGGAGAGCACCATCGAGCACGGCCACGTGGACGGAGCTGCGCGAGCCGGCTCGACACAGCAACCAGCACCCCAGCTCCCCGAACACTTCCTATCCACGCTGATGGAAACGATCACGCGTGCGCAAGTGGAAGCAAATAGAAGCCTTATCAATTCTCTGATGACGTCCAGCAGTGAATTTAGGGCCTCCACCCCAGTCGTGGCCTCTCAAACAAATAATGTGAACAGCGGGAGTGGTACTGCTGCCAGCGTCGCGAGTGTCGACGCCAATTTTACTAAGTGCACGGCGCGGTTCAACGGGTCGTCCCAGGACGCAGAGGTATTAGAAGCGTTCCTGGATGCCGTCGAGATATTTAAGGAGTGTGCGGCCGTGAGTGACGAGCTCGCACTCCGCGGATTGCCGATGTTGCTGGAGGGTGAAGCGGCAGTATGGTGGCGCGGCGTTAAGGCGTCGGTGACTACATGGGCGGACGCGGTCGCCCGCCTACGCGCGGCGTATGGCGTGGCGCAGCCCGCGCATCAGATTCTACGGCAGATCTTCGCGACGGAGCAGCAAGAAAAAAGAACGCGCCGAGTCGTTTTTGTGTAAAGTGCGAGCGTTAATTGCAAAGTTACCGTATAAGCTCGATGAAATAGTACAAGTTGATATTTGTTACGGGTTATTACACCGACGTATTGTTAAAAGAGTTTCCCGCGATAATGTTCGTAATTTAGATGACTTAGTGTATAAAACGAGGATCGCGGAGGATATGTATAAAACTCTTAAGGTAAATAAGGATAACAATAATAGTAATAATTGTAAAAACGCGATTTCACGAACATCAGTCACTACTACCGGTCGCGATCTCACTCGATCGAGTTTTGATAGTACGAACGCGATCACTCCGCGTAGTAATAAAAACAATAGGCCCCGATGTAGTTATTGTAAATTATTTGGGCATATTAGTGAAGAATGTCGCAATCGTGAGAAGGTTATTAACAATAATAATAATGATAAACGTTTGTATAGCGATAGCACGCGTAAGGGTATACGTTGTTATGGTTGTGGCAAGGAAGGTGTCGTGAGGTCGAAATGTGATATTTGTGTGAAAACTTTAACGAATTCGGATGGTAAAACTTCGTTCAATAATTTGGATGTAGATTTTAATAATCACGATAATTGCGTTAATAATAATAATAGTAGTATAGGTAATACAAGTGCGTCATGTATTAAGTTAACTAACGTGAGTACGCGTGAATCGTATCCTATGGTTAATATATCCATTATGGGTCGTACCGGAGTGGCGATAGTGGATACGGGCGCTACGCATAGTATTGCGAGTCCTTTATTATATAAAATTTTAGTAGACTTGGGAGTACACTTTAGTAAAGTTAAACGATTTGTACACCTGGCTGACGGTACACAAGGGTGGAGAGACTTGTTGACGGCCGAGGTAGGTATAGATATCGAAGGCCATAGTGTAATGTGTCAATTACTAGTGTTGCCAGGTTGTGACACTAGAACACTTCTAGGTATAGATTTCTTGTCTCGGGCCAGAATGGTAATAAACGTTGCCCATCGCACTTGGACATTTATGGATAGTCCCGGACAGTGCTTTAATTTTATTTATTCGTACACACTTGACCCTGCAGGTACAGATTTATTGCATGCCGCATCTGATGAGCTGATGTTGCGCGCAGACGAAGGATCTATGTTAACCCAGGAGCAACAGAATAGACTTAATGCGTTTATTGAGGATCGCGCGCCGCAATTTGCACGCGATGGACCGGCGACGGAGTTCGCCACGCATCGAATTAAGGTGAGTCCACGACAAGAACCAATTGCTTGTCCACCATATAGAATGTCACAGAGTAAGAAGGAGGCCTTGCAGAAGGAGCTTGAAAAGCTGCTGCGAGATGACATCATTGAGGAGTGTGAGTCGCCGTGGGCCTCTAACGTGGTATTGGTGGGGAAGAAGGACGGTAATGTAAGGCTCTGTATTGATTACCGGAAATTGAACGCGGTGACCGAGCCAGACCGATACCCGCTTCCACGTATCGAGGACATTCTGCATGCAGCTAAGTCCAGTGAATATATGACTACTCTGGACCTTCGTTCAGGTTACCATCAGGTAAGTGTCTGCTCAGAGGACCAAGATAAGACTGCGTTTACGACGCCACTTGGTACCTTTAGATTTAAGAGGATGCCTATGGGACTGCGGAATTCCGGAGCAACCTTTCAGAGGTTGATGGACCGATTCCGGTCCAACCTGAAAGAAGTAGCGCTCCTAGCGTATTTAGACGATCTGATACTGCTGTCGCCGGGACCTTTCGAGAGACACCTGGCTGACCTGGAGGCGGTCTTTGATCGGTTGGCCATGTTTAACTTAAGAGTGAACAGAGGTAAGAGTTTTTTTGCGAGAGAATCTGTTAAGTTTTTAGGACATGTTATTGTACCAGGCGGAATCCAGGTGGATCCTGACAAGACGGCGGCTATTGATAATATGCCCGCCCCTCAGAATGTTAAACATTTAAAATGTTTCTTACAAACGGCGAGTTGGTATCGCCGCTTTATTAATAATTATGCTGAAATCGCGAGACCTCTTACGACACTCCTGAAGAAATCAAATGCCTGGCGATGGGACGCCGAGCATCAGGAGGCGTTTGAGCGGATAAAGCGTCTCCTCGTATCCGCTCCCATTCTGCGTCAGGCGGACGAGTCGAAGCCATTCGTTCTCTGCACCGACAGTAGCGCTTACTGCCTCGGGGCTGTTTTAATGCAGGGGGAGGGACACGATGAGAGACCGATCGAGTACGCAAGTCGTCTTCTCACTAGTGCAGAGAAGAATTATTCCACGACGGAGCGAGAGGCACTCGCCGTCGTGTGGGCGTTAGGTAAGTTCCGCGGTTACGTAGATACTGCGAAGGTAACGGTTAGGACGGACCACCAGCCTTTGCGATGGCTAATGAGTCAGAGGTCACCTAGTGGTCGGCTGGCTAGGTGGGCCCTAACATTGCAAGAGTTCGACCTCAACATCCAATACACACCGGGACGCTCGAACGTGGTAGCGGATACGCTTTCGCGACCAGTTTGTGCTGAGAACCAAGGTGAGTGCGAATTATGTATGACAGTCGTTGACTTACCAAAGAGGAGTAGTGGTGATATCCGCAGCAATCAACTGTTAGATCCAGAGATTCGCAAAATCATTGAGGACATGGAGTCTGACGAACCTTCTAGGGGGAGGCCATGGTCCGATCGTGGGTACACTATTTCCGATGGTATACTTTATAGGTATAGCTTAGAGTCAGACGATGGAGAAGAATGCTGTATTGTTGTGCCAGAACACGAACGCAGGCAAGTGATGACTGAACTCCACGACGCGCCTACGGCAGGACATTTCGGCGTGGAACGCACGTTAAGCCGTGTTCGCGCTAGATATTATTGGCCAGGTATGCGCACATTCATTACTAACTATATAAAGGAGTGTGTGCCGTGTCAAAGGTATAAAGCTGACAATCGCAAACCTGCAGGTCTGCTGCAAACGCCTGCTGTGTCAAGGCGGTTTGAAGTAGTCTCCGTAGACTTATTTGGTCCGCTCGTAGAAACACCGAGGAAGAATAGGTGGGTGTTAGTCGTAGAAGATGTGTGTTCGCGCTGGGTGGAATTGTTTCCATTAGAGAACGCAACCAGTGCAGAGTGTGCACAAATACTGGCGAACGAGGTGTTCCTTCGATATGGAGTTCCTCGACGGCTCATCAGTGACAACGGTGTGCAATTTGTGAGCGAGGTCATGCAACAGGTTTGTCATGTTTTAGGTATAAGCCAAGCACTTACACCCTTTTATCACCCAGAGGCTAATCCCATAGAGCGGAAAAATAGAGATATTAAGCCTCAGTTGGCTATGCTTGTAGGACACGACCACTCTACCTGGGATTTGCATCTAGCGTCTATTAGGTTCGCCATGAACTCTGCTGTTACCAGCAGTACAGGGTTTACGCCAGCATATCTTACCTTCGTAGAGAACTGCGAGCTCCGTCCGATTCTGCGAGGGATATGAGGGCCATAGTCGAAAACGACAATTTTGTACCTAATATTACCCCATACCTAAAGAAGATGGCCGCGACCTTGGATGAAGCTAGGGATATCCACGAAAAAGCGCAGGCCGTTCAGAAGGAGGCTGCTGACCAGAGACGGCGATCGCCGCCAGAGTATAAGGTAGGCGATATGGTGCTACTTAAAACGCAGGGGCCGAACGATGCAGGACGTGGACAGACGGCGAAGTTAATCCCACGCCGGGACGGCCCATACAAGATAGGTAAGGTAGTTAGTCCCACTACGTACGGGTTAGAGAACGTACAGACCGGAAGAGATATAGGGAAATATCACGTTTCGCACCTCACGCCATTTACCGGCCAGATAGAGCCTCCCGTTAGGGAAAAACGTAAACGTGGTAGGCCGCGTAGATACCTAGACTAGCCCAACTGTGAGGACACTTAGTTAGGCTAGAGGGGGAGAGTGTAACGCGGGGTTTTTACAAACAACAGTGATCGCGGGGTATCGTGTCGGAACATGTACGATCCTGTAGGGCCGTGTTTCGTGCGATCGTACAGTTTAGGCGCCCGCGCCCCCCCGTCTCCCGCGAACGCTTGAGCGACGGCGTGGCTCGACGAGGCAGAGAGCCGCGAGCGCCGAACGCGTAAACATCTGTATCATAACGATCCTCCACGACTCTCATTTTCACGCAGTTGTAAGATTTTATGTAATTTTTTGTGTAATTTCCAATAACCATAAGTTTTCTTGTCAAACCTCAAGTGAAATAAATATATTTTAATAGACTGTTGTGTACCTATTAAAGAAGTTATTTAATACATGACTTCTATTTTCTTATTAAATTCTGAATTAAACATATTATTATATTTTATTGAATATAAAATTTGGAGTAGCTTTGAATAAGCTCAATTTTTTTTTATAAATACTTCAAGCTTCAAACGTTAAAACGATACGACCAAGTTCTATCCTTATTTTATACAAAATATGAAAATGTTGGAAATGTAATATGAAACAAACCATTCAAAATTACCCTAGTTTTGTACTTGATAAATATGTTTTTTCAATTTGTCTTTACTACGCTAAAATAAATACTTTAAAACTATTATTTTCACTAGGCAACACAATTTTTAAAATCTTGAATATTTCATTTTTATTTTTATGGTAACCCATTCGAATGGCCGAGTTGTTTCTACATTGCTCTATTATTATTTTCAACTGCGAAATAAATTAGTTATTTAAAATTCTCTTAGAACTTAATAAACTTTTGTTTCTTAAAATATAATTTTACAAAATTGTTAATGATGCCATATTGCTGACACTTCGCCACGATGTTTAACCGCGGATGCGTTACGGACCGCAGTTCATTGCCTTATGTAAAACTGGTAATGGTGTTTCTTCCGTGAGTGACCGAAATATACAGTGACTTATGTGTATAGTTTTTTCGTTAATGTGACTAGTGAGTAAAGTGTAAAAATGTCCAATTCAACTGCCCAAGTGTTGATGAAAAAGGGTAAAAGAGGTGCAGCTGCATATATCCATGCGGACTGCGCGAGCGGCTCACCACAGCACCTCGGTCCACTTCTTGACGTCTTGCTGAACCCTAGCAAGGCTATTGATGAGTGGGAGACAATAGACTGGTGTCGTTGGCTCCTAGCGGGTGGAAGAACACCTGACGAATTCGCCGCAGTTGGTAAGTGTAATCCAATTATAACTGTACTCTTTTTATTGTATGTCGTAGTTCTTTGTAGGTTATGAGCAATAAATTGATGATGATGCAGATTTTATAATTTACAGCATTGATATTTACTAGGATTCTATTACTTATTATCATTAAAATAAATATATTCAAATTCTAGTAAGTTCTTGTTTTGAAATGCAAAGTGTTCACTGCAGAGAACTGCTCAGTTAACAAATTCCTGAATTATTTATTGTAATCATTAAAGTAGTTTGTTTGTACATTTTGTTGTCATAATCTCTTATTTATCAGGTCTATAGGATACATTCAAAGCATTAGTTATACTTTTTAAATCAGTCCTTTTTTTCTTTTCTTCGATAATTGTGTTTAAGATGATTCACATTATTTGTATTGAACAGATAATTATATAAGCTATCTGAGGTCATGCTTATGGCTTGTTTCCAAACAAGGTTGTGTCCTTATTGTTTTGAAAAGGTAATAAACATGTACAAACACTACATGTTGTATGCAAATATAAATGCAGCATTATGACACATTGCTCAAACTATATATTACATACATACCAGCCCAGAAACGAGTTAAGAAAACAATGTTTATTGTTTATCTTATATTTTGCAATCCCAATTATAAAGCTCATTGCTTGTATGGAAGTTAGTTTAAGTTTGAATACTTATTATATACTGTATTATATTTCCTATATAAAATTAGTAGGTAAATTTTTAATTTTACTCAGTTGTATCAGATTTACCATTTTACATTTACCTGAATGTTATTCGGCATTATATAAATTATAAAATAATATATAAACTCTATACTAGATATAAATAATCTGTGATCTAGTCAATAGTTTAAATGTATTATTTCTTGTCCTTTTACTATGTTTCACAATGTCACTCAACAGATGTATGCCAACCTTGTGATGAATCATATGCCTTAGTAGGTAGCAAGGATCATGATTGTGCCATATAGATAATTTATTGATTATAGTGCCAATTTGTCTGCCACTCTGTCTACCATTCAAAAAATATAGTATTAGTGCCACATTGCCATTACGACTGTGTGTACTGTGTGTGTATAGTGCACTTAGTGTATTTATAATAGACTAGCAGCTCACTCTGATTTTGCTAAAATTCATCTCTAGAAAAACAAATACAAATCTATTCCACTATATTATTGTAAAGTCTCATTAAAATCCATTGAGTAGTTTTTGTGTGAAAGAGCAACAAACATCTTTACATCCAGCCATCCATACATCCTCACATACTCTTGTATATATAATTTTAGTATAGATAATGTATATTAGATATTATTATATCCATACTAATATTATAAAAGTAAAAGTGTGGTTTTTTGTTTGTCCTTCTTTCACGTCGAAACGGAGTGATGGAATGGTGTGATTTTTTGTGTGAAGATAGTTGGAGGGCTGTAGAGTGACAAAGGCTACTTTTTACCATGGCAGATTATCTCATTTCTATGAGATAACCCATTATAAATTATAATACAGTCCAAAAAAATATTTATGATCAGAATCACTGAAATTTGATATTGATACTCTTCAAGAGAATAAATAAATACTTGTTTTAGCATTTTTCGAAATTCATTCTATAAGGGGGTAAAATAGGGTATGAAAGTTTGTATGAAACTACCTTTTTTGAGATATTTTTTGTAGTTTTAGCACGAGCACAGCCGCAGGTTCTGCTAGTTATATAATATTTAACATCTTAATCTTAGTCATCTAACTTTGTGATAAACACTTATTATGAATTTAATAGTGTAAATAATTACTATTTACTACACTGTTCATTTTCATTTATAATAAGATTTATAGTCACATACTTTGCTCCCTAAGGTTATAAAGTAGTCAAACAGTACATTCTATACCATACTATCAATGACCGAAGCCAATAATCTATACATATAATAAAATTCTAACTGAGTTGAATCTGTATATTAAATATTTTTGGGAAATCTATAGTTTTTAAAAGTTTTGTCTGTCTGTCTGTATGGGAATACAATCACGAGAAAACCACTGGACAGATTCATAAAATTACAATTAACTGAAACTGAAAGTACCTGAGTGACCAAGGTTCACTTGGCATTTTTTTGGAAAAGACATATGTATACAAACAAACTTAAAAAGCAAAACTTTACCTAAATATAAAATTTGATTTACTTATATCATTAGAGATACAAAATCTAAATTTATGTATCTTTATATATATAATTCTTCTGTGAGTGTGTATGTCACTGAACTTCTCTCAAACGACTGGACCGATTTTGATGAAATTTTTTGTGTGTGTTCAAGGGGATCTGTTTGAATAATAATTTTCATCAAAATGGTCCAGAATGTTTTAGCTTATTAAAAAAAGTTTGAAATTTTCAAATTAAAGACGTGTAGACAGGACAACGTCTGTCGGGTCAGCTAGTACATATTTATACTTACAAGAATTACTCATTTAATATTATCTATACTAATATTATAAAAAGGTAAAGTTTGTGAGTTTGTGAGGTTGTAGGGGGTAATCTCTGGATCTACTTCACCAATTTATATGAAATTTGGTAAGAAGATAGTGTGAGACCCTAGGAAGGACATAGGATACTTTTTATCTCTGAAATCATCCCTTAAGGGGGTGAAAATGGGAATGAAAGTTTGTATAGGGAATCAACCTAGGGACGAACCCGAGGGAAGTGAGGGTGAGTCACTAGTAAGATATACATATAATATAAATGCACATTTAAATGAATCCCATTTAAAATACTTTTAAACTTAATTTTACCAATATAGCAGAAGGAAGAAGCTAAAAGAAATTCATTATAGCACAATATGATGTGGAGGATTAATAATATAGTATCATTTCATTTCATCTGATGTAATTTCAAATCACAGGAGTTTAACTGGTATAGGTAGTACCAAACTGAAAAAAAAGATTTAATATGTAAGTTACTACAAAATACCTTGGCTTTGCTTGAGTGCTCATGTAGGTACTGTCTACAAACCTTATAAATAATTATTTCATTCTAAACAGTTTTTTTTTTCTAAATTTTATGTAAATGGGTCACCATCATTGAGGTAAAGATAATACTATAAAAAATAATCAACTCTAATGTGCTGTGTAGGCCAAAATAATTAGTGACGATTTCACTTTATGTCAGATGTATGGAGCCATCAAAATTCAGAATGTAATCGGGTCAGAGCTAATAAAGAAATAATATATTTTAGTGGAAATGTCCGTTGATTTTTAAAATTAAGCTATTTACGTTTTTTTCCTCACCTGAGTGTTATATATCTACCCTTGAATATTATCCACCTCATTATTTCTTTTATTTATTTTCAAAGAGTACAATTGTCAATTAACTGACTCGTTTTTGTAACACTTGTAACAGGGTCAAGTTAAACCACAAATGAATAAAAACGTAAAGCTATGGTTATATTATAGCCAATTTGTTTTCTAAGACACGTTTGGCTCAGTTTGTAGTGACCCTACTTGTTGTGCCAACGGTCGCGGGTTCCAATCCCGCTGGGAGCATTCATTTGTGTGATGCGCACGAATGTTTGTACTCTAGTCATGGGTGTTTATATTTATAATATGTATGTATTTAAAGTTGTATATGTGTAGTGTATCAACTATCTGGTATCCATAACACAAGCCTCGTAGCTTATCATGGAACTAGATGGTGCTGTGTTTTAATGTCCCAACATATTTAAATACATTAGCCAAAGGTCAGAAAGGCAAAACATTCATATTACAGTTCATAATTGTTACGTAATATGATTACTTACTATTTAGATAATTGTAGTATTTTTATCGTTTCATGTGGTACGCTTAATGCAGAGATATAATACACTAGCAGAACCCGCGGCTTCGCTCGCGCTAAAATTACAAAAAAAAACTAATAAGGTAGGTTTCATACAAACTTTCATCCGTTATTTTACCCCCTTATGGGATGAATTTCGAAAAATGCTAAAACACGTATTTAATTAATTGTATTGAAGAGCATTTATACCAAATTTCAAGTAATTCTGATCATAAATTATTGGGTATTATTTGGGTTGCATTATAACTTTTTTTCCCGTGGGAAAGAGATAACCTCCCGCGGTCAAAAGTAGCCTATGTCCAGCCCTCCAACAACTATCCCCACACAAAAAATCACGCCAATCCGCCAAGTCCTTTTGACGTGAAAGAAATACAAACAAACACACTTTTACATTTATAATATTAGTATGGATTACACAGGAAGTAAAAAATAATACTGAATAATAAATGTAAGTAATATGTTAAATAAAATGTAAAATAACTTTTAAACTTGGTAAAAATATAAAAAGAAATAAACCTTACAATATTCATACTCCTGATACTCCATATTCATCTCATTCTCTTGTAGGTTACTTTTCTGAACACTTCTACCATGTGTGAGTTGCACACACACACTTTTTTCTATTTTGTTTTTCGTATATATGTACAAAAGAGAATTTAGTAACTCTGTAATACTTCGTTCTATGATTTTTCCCAATCAATGCTTATCAAATCATCACGCATCGAGTAACTTTATATAACCAGCATAAAAGTGCATCATGCAGGAATCGAATCTGTGGCAGAGACGGACTGTATAAAGGAGGTGTTTGGATTTTTAGTACCCTTTGATAGCCACTAACGTAATAATGTCCTCGAGACTGATTTCGGCCACGGTGGCCAACCTCACTGAGACTGGCCAACAGCACAGGAGATTGCACAAAAGTGCACGCGCAGACACAAGTGCACTCTCTATTCCTGGCACTCTCAAATTCTGATGGGACGATATTTCGAGACAACCGGTGAGCACGTAAGAGCTCTCCAAAGCATTGGGGTGAAACACCCCTAACTTCCCAAATCTGGGCTGTTATTAAAAATGTCTTGACAGAAATACTCAAGGACTGAACCTGGCCCGACCCGGGACTCGAACCCAGGATCTGCAGCCGCACATGCTAGCTACTAGACTATCAAGGCAGTTAAGCA